CACATTGATATAATCGGCATAGTGCTTGTCACAGCGTTTCCTGCATCAGTCCCAATTCACCGGGAGGCGGTGGGGTAGCCTGGTGGTTAAAGCGTTCGCTCGTCACGCTGAAGACCCGGGTTCGATTCCCCACATGGTACACTTTTGTGAAGCCCATTTCTGGTGTCCTCGCGTAAAACCATACTCACACACGCATATTTTAGCCTTGCTGTTGAGTAGCAGTTAAAGGGAGACAACGCTTGGTGTATTGTCCGGCGTTTCAACGCTGCAATGTTGGATGTAGTTATTACTGATGCTCTCCACGCCAACCCGCTAGGCACGCTGACCCAGCTGGTCCCTTAAACTAATATTCCATATGATATAAGCCACACAGGGGGGTACCATACTCACCATTACAAGAAGACTCGTCTCCCGCCTGTTACTTCCAAAGACTCGTCTCCCCTCCACTTTCCTTAAAAGACTCGTCTCCCATTCGTCGCCAATCGCCCGTTTTCTGTTACCTCCAAGAAGACTCGTCTCCCATTCGTCAACTTTCCCCTTCTGTAACCCCATGAAGACTCGTAGTGGGGGTTGGTGGGGTGGTTGGTTTGGGGGTGTCATTGATTTTGTACATGGCATGGGGGAGGGTGGGGGTGTTATTCACATTGTACATGCTTCTCCATAAAAATCATCATCACCCCCCTGGCCGTATATTATGTACGGTCAGTAAGGTTTAATATATTTATATATTTATTGTTCTCGAAGCAGTGACGTATCTATTGCCATGCCAGGGTTCAATGACACTTCGGGGAGGACAACGCCCACTTATAGTGTAATATAAGAAAACCCGACGTGAACCGGTGAGATCGGGTGTTAGTTCATTCCGGGTCACGCTATAACCATTTACAATCGGTGTTTACAGCACTATCGTGGACGATTAAATTCTGCACTTTTAAACTTCAACTATATTCTAACGGTATGCGTACCACAAGCGTATGTCAGTATATCATGGTATGCCATGGTTATATCATGATGTGTCATAGTTATATCATGGTGTGTCATGGTTATATCATGGTGTCGTAGTTATATCATGGTGTGTCATAGTTATATCATGGTGTGTCATAGTTATATCATGGTGTGTGTCATAGTTATATCATGGTATGTCATAGTTATATCATGGTGTGTCATAGTTTTATCAGGGTGTGTCATAGTTATATCATGGTGTGTGTCATAGTTATATCGTGGTGTGTCATAGTTATATCGTGGTGTGTGTCATAGTTATATCAGTTATATCGTGGTGTGTGTCATAGTTATATCATGGTGTGTGTCATGGTTATACCATAGTGTGTGTCATAGTTATATCATGATATGTCATAGTCATATCATAATGTGTGTCGTGGTTATATCATGGTGTGTCATTGTTATATCATGGTATGTCATGGTTATATCATGGTGTGTCATAGTTGTTATCCATAAAAGTGCCATGTATTCATGTTCGTCCAACTTCTTAATGCCTTTCACAAACTTGGTGCGTCATAGTCATATCATAATGTGTGTCATAGTTATGTCATGGTGTTCCATGGTTATATCATGGTGTGTCATAGTTATATCATGGTGTGTCATAGTTATGTCATGGTGTTCCATGGTTATATCATGGTGTGTCATAGTTATATCATGGTGTGTCATAGTTATGTCATGGTGTGCCATGGTTATATCATGGTGTGTCATAGTTATATCATGGTGTGTCATAGTTATATCATGGTGTGCCATGGTTATATCATGGTGTGTCATAGTTATATCATGGTGTGTCATAGTTATATCATGGTGTGTCATAGTTATGTCATGGTGTGCCATGGTTATATCATGGTGTGTCATAGTTATATCATGGTGTGTCATAGTTATGTCATGGTGTGTCATGGTTATATCATGGTGTGTCATAGTTATGTCATGGTGTGCCATGGTTATATCATGGTGTGTCATAGTTATATCATGGTGTGTCATAGTTATGTCATGGTGTGCCATGGTTATATCATGGTGTGTCATATAGTTATGTCTTATATCATGGTGTGTCATAGTTATGTCATGGTGTGCCATGGTTATATGGTTATATCATGGTGTGTCATACTTATATCATAGTGTGTCATACTTATATCATGGTGTGTGTGTCACAGTTATGTCATGGTGTGCATGGTTATATCATGGTGTGTCACAGTTATGTCATGGTGTGCCATGGTTATATCATGGTGTGTCATAGTTATGTCATGGTGTGTCTTAGTTATATCATGGTGTGTCGTAGTTATTTCATGGTGTGCTATGGTTATATCATGGTGTCATAGTTATATCATGGTCTGCCATAGTTATGTCATGGTGTGCCATGGTTATATCATGGTGTGTCATAGTTATATCATGGTGTGTCATAGTTATGTCATGGTGTGCCATGGTTATATCATGGTGTGTCATAGTTATGTCATGGTGTGTTATATCATGGTGTGTCATAGTTATATCATGGTGTGTCATAGTTATATCATGGTGTTCCATGGTTATATCATGGTGTGTCATAGTTATATCATGGTGTGTCATAGTTATGTCATGGTGTGTCTTAGTTATCCCCGCCCGTGCAAATTCGTCTTTTCCGAAGCAGAACATATAAAACCGTTAAATATTTCTTCACGAAACTTTGCACATACATTCCATTTCGTGGACATAATCAACAGTACCACTTTATTTCCAATATCAATATTACTGACATACATCAAACCATGGAAGCACTCATGCAGTCTGTTGTTGGTTGATACAAACTTGCTAGCATATAAATAGTTTATGTATGTTTGTTTTCGTTAGATCAATGTGATCGTAACATTCGACATAGTCATAACTAGTTGACATATTCATGAAGAGTATTTTACCATTTCGGGAGATATTAATGACTTTGTCTTCTTGTCATATCATGGCAAATCAAAGTTATACCATGCTATGTCATAATGTGTCATAGTTATATCATGGTGTGTCATAGTTTTATCATGGTATGTCAGATTAAGGTGGGAGGGTGGCCGAAGGGATGCAGGTGTCTGGCGTCTCTAAGGGACGCAACTCTGCACAGCGAATTGTGGCGCCTGATCCAAAGGGCTATATTAGTGTACGTTGCTGCATCAGGCAAATATGAGACAATCTAAGCATATCTCGTCCAGAAACATTAAACAAAACATATGTATTGCTTTTAAATCGTATTAACATTTCTTTTTCTGTTTGAATTTCTGCTTTTTTATTGAACAAGCATCATATGTTTGTGTTTTGGTGTTGCTTTTGTTGTTGCTTTTTTTCTCCATCCCAAAACAGAAATTGGTTGCTTGATGTTTTAATACAAGTCACTAAACAGAAGTACCTGTTCTTTTTTTCCGCATGGTTACCATAAACATTTGCAATATGCCTACTTATATTTGTGATTGTTAAACATTCCACCTTGAGGCGCCTGAGACGAATGGGCTACCTGTGCGTCCAAGAGGTGTATCAACAGTATAGTCGCTCGACTGCTCTTTAACTGAAGGACAAGCTGTTACATATATATCATAAAACTAAATAGTACATAGATCTAATAGCTATACTGTTAATGACAACTAATAAATGAAAATGACAAGACAAGCTATCAGAGATACCACAATGAGTACGACTAAATGCAGTAGTTATATGGTCACTTGTAATTAATCGATTTTCCCCCCCAAAAATTCTAAATGGAAAAACACGATCAACATTATTATGACAAGGAGAGGTGATTCGGAATTGGTGAGGGTTCTCTCATATGCTTCTATATTCCACTCACCATACTTACTGACATGAGGTGAGGGGAAATGGGGTTTAACGTCATACTCGAGAATATTTCGCTCATATGACGACGTGCATGCATGTGTATATTTGGCTGTTTGTACTAGCCCAGACTTAAGCTGGTTTTATAGTGCTAGCTCAAAGAGATACCATGCCGCAGTTAAGAATGAATACCCCACTCAGACACATTATACTGACTCCGAGCCGACAAGTCCTTGTTGTATCCAATACTTGACATGAATGCCCAGAGCCAGTCAGGTACCAACGAGGACTATAATTTAACGTCTTTTGGTATGACGCGGCCCGGGATCGAACCCGCTACCTTCCGCTTTCCGGGCGGACGCTCTAACCACTACACCACGGAGGCGGCCTCTGTCTATTGACGTGAGCCCATTGTGACGAATCTGTACAGTTTCTTTAATAATTTAGATGTAAAACAGCACCCCTTGATATAGACCCCTTTCTCTTCACAAGTAATAAACAAATATATTAATGAAATAATAATTAGCTACGTCTTTTAATTCAAATATTTATAAGTTTATTCGTTAATGGTGTTAAAGAGTGAGAACCCATCAGCGGATGCTATACGTAGCAGACGCCCGGTAGCCCTGAGACCACGTGCTAGACCACGTGGTTGCCCTATCGCATTTGTTGTTTGTGTCGTGCGATGTGATTGGATAATATCGCAAAGGCGGCCCACTGGGGAAAAAGTGGGAGGGGGCAGTTCAGTAGGTTTATTATTATATGGTATAGGAATATGGTAGACCTACCAATGTGCCTTGTATAAAGACTCTGATGTAAGTCATAAAGACACACCTGCGTCAGGTACAGACTTAATCAAACGTTTGTGTCGATCTCCATAGTTTACAGCATGTCGGGCAAGGCAACTCGTTATTTTGACACTATCGTCACTATATTTAGATGTAAAACAGCACCCCTTGATATAGACCCCTTTCTCTTCACAAGTAATAAACAAATATATTAATGAAATAATAATTAGCTACGTCTTTTAATTCAAATATTTATAAGTTTATTCGTTAATGGTGTTAAAGAGTGAGAACCCATCAGCGGATGCTATACGTAGCAGACGCCCGGTAGCCCTGAGACCACGTGCTAGACCACGTGGTTGCCCTATCGCATTTGTTGTTTGTGTCGTACGATGTGATTGGATAATATCGCAAAGGCGGCCCTCTGGGGAAAAAGTGGGAGGGGGCAGTTCAGTAGGTTTATTATTATATGGTATAGGAATATGGTAGACCTACCAATGTGCCTTGTATAAAGATTCTGATGTAAGTCATAAAGACACACCTGCGTCAGGTACAGACTTAATCAAACGTTTGTGTCGACCTACATAGTTTACAGCATGTCGGGCAAGGCAACTCGTTATTTTGACACTATCGTCGTCGGATGTGGAGGAATCGGCAGCGCCGCAGTGTACTGGTTGTCAAAGACATCGTCCTCAGGTATATATGCATGCTTGCTATTGAATATCGCTCACATTTATCTTTGACGCCACAAGTATGTCATGGCTGTTAAAAATAGGTTCATTGCATTGTGTTTGCGAACTGGAGTAAAACGCAACATGTCATTCAGATCGATAAAATGTTGGTCTGGCAAGGCAAGGCCGGGATTCGTTATTCTTGTGGATGGCTGATGTGATGTAAAGGAGTGAGTGAGTTTAGTTTACGTCGCTTTTAGCAATATTCCAGCAATATCAAGGCGGGGGTTACCAGCAATGGGCTTCACATGTGGAGAATCAAACCCGGGTCTTCGAGCGAACATTTCCTCCACTTGTCTGCCCCACCGCCCCCTGATGTAAAGAACAGCAGAGTGATCGGATCAATTTTCATACCAAGTGAGGGGCAGTGGTTAAAGCGTCCGTTCGAAGACCCCCCGTTCGATTCCCAACATGGGTACAATTTTGAGGCCCATTTCTAGAGTCCATGATATTGGAATGTTGCCGAAAACAGCGTAAAACTAAACTCACTCACTCACTCATATCAGGTGACCTTGGGATGAATTCAGATCGATAACGCTAGACAGTTTTATTCTACCTCAACAGAACCTCAACCCAAGTATACTCATGCCAATAATGGTTGTCACCCCTCCCCAACACCCCCCACACTTCCCCACACTCACCCCACACAATTAAAAAATTGAAGGGGTGACAACCATTATTGGCATAGATCGAGATTATGTTATGTCGTGTATTAGGTTAAGGTGTGGAGTATTAATAGAAGTTTATCAATCGGTGATTCTAACGCATCTACATATCACGTCCAGCAAGGAGAATGTGTTTGTATGTAGTGGTGAGAACTTTCTGTGGACATTACCCACGATATGATTGTATTCCAAGCATGCTTTACAATCCGCTTACACTCAAGTCTGACAATCCAGGACACGGCGAGACTTATCCTATGTATGATGTTCTTCTATTAGATAGAGTAGGACGGGTCAGGTAGCTGTCAGTAAACATACGTTTGAGTAGGCTGAATAATTGACATTCAGTCTATTCAGCTGACGCGGCAGAATATGGCCGCACAGTTATAGGATATATTATTATTATAGTATATTTATATAGTGCACATATCCATAAATAACTAATATATAACGTTTAGGAAATCTAGCTATTTCACAAGGATTAATCTAAGCGTGTAAACAGGGCAAATTGTGACATTGTCCAGCACTATAATTATCTCGCGGGTAGTGTCGGTAGTCATATAGAGGTATAATGGACATGGTTTGAAGATGCGTGTGAATCACCGCTCGATAGACTTGTATTACTAATAATTGTATTTGGTTTTAAAGAAGTTTCGACTCATCCTATTGTGAGTTGATTATCGTCTACATACATGACAGCTTCAAATCGTCTTAGGTGAAACTCCAGCGTATGAGGTTCAATTAAAGACAAGTGTACATTGCTGCAGTGCATCAAAAGTTCTCCGTCCATTAATCACATATACAAAATATGTGGTGAGATGTGTTTCCTCTAAAGTTTGGATTTCAGATAATATAATTAATTTACAAAACATGTCTAAGTTTCATAAAAATAGCGTATAAAGCACACAATGTGACTCTAAAGTCACTTTTCACACACCAAAATGGCGCTACCAATCGTTGAAACACAAACTAACCAAATATTCATTCAGGATAACGTTATTGCGTTCATGTGCCGTGGAGCAGTCAACTTGACTCTATCGGTAACAAGTTACCCTTCAATTATCTGCAGTCAACGACTACACGGTAGATACAGCCTCAAACTGTTGTTCAGAGTTGCGTCCCTTAGTTACGCCAGAAACTTATGATGTTGGTTCGCCTTTTATTCGTTAGGAACTTTTATTCGCCCCGATTGTATTTCTAGGTTTCTCAGCCGTTGTCGTGTACGCCTCTGTGGTGAACGTGTGAGACCACCACTTCGGGATTTCCTCCAACAATAACCAGATCTGATATTCTGTTCAAAGAGGCGTTAACCCAACTCAAACACTCCAGCTGTTTGCGAAAATCGTAAACATGACCTCATTAGCATAAGAAGTTAGCGATTGTTTGTTGCTAACATACACCGCAAGAAGGTCTTTCGTATGTTGTTTATCTACCCAGTCCAAGGTATATCATCAAAACCGTCACGTCGTACATCATGATAGTTGGTAAATCATCGACATTCCAATTGTCTTTCAGTTCTGGGTTTGGAACAATTTGAACTTGGGCATGGAAGAGGCGGTTCAGATGATGTTTCCCGAGTTATGTAAGTACAACACTCTTAAAAAGTAGAGTGTGGCGTAAAACTAAACTCACCAAAACTTAAAAAGTAAAGGCCTGCATTGCTCTTTATATTCTCTTCGAAAAGGTAGGGGCTCATGAACTAACATAAATTCAACTTGCAAAAATGACTGCAAGAGATTTCGGATAATATCTATGAAATCATCCAGATGTTTCTTTCTATTCTGTTTACGAGTAAACGTATTTTTGTTGTTCACGAACTGGTTGATGTCCAAACTTTCTGAGTGTTGACCATGCCATCTTTTGCAGAAGCTCCAAAAAATTCCACAAGGCTCAGTCGCCTAAAGAATTTATGTATATCCACTTTCAGTTGTTCAGCCTCTTCCGTGGTGTAGTGGTTAGAGCGTCCACCCGGAGAGCGGAAGGTCGCAAGTTCGATCCCCGGCCGCGTCATACCAAAACATGTTAAAATATGGTACTTGTTGTTCCCTGCCTGGCGCTCGGCATTTATGGGTACAGCAAGGACCTATCGGCTCGGAGTATAATGTGTCTGAGTGGGGTATTCATGCTTAACTGCGGCATGGTATCTCAGTGGGCTAGCACAATAAAACCAGCTTAAGTCTGGGCTAGAACAAGCTGTCACACATACACATACGCATGCATGCACGTCGTCATATGAGCGAAATATTCTTAAGTACGACATTAAACCCCATTTCACCTCACCTTCAATTGTAAATTTCAAACCCCGTTGTCATAAAGTGATTTCCATATTTGTTAATTTCTGTTTGGAGATATTGATTATTTTAGGATCAATTCGTGTATCTTCGGGCTTCCATGAAGATTTGGTGAATGTTATAGTTATCGTGTTATATTTCCAGTCGCTATGGTTACCACGACGAGGTATACAGTCGCCTTGTTCCTCATGCCTACAGCGCGTAAGTACGCATGTGTTCTAAAATTATTCCATAGTCGTACATATGTATATAGAGAGGGAGAACCAGTATACGCATGTCAAGTAGCTAAATTTAAATTTGCCACCAACGTGGATTTCGAAACAAATGTGTCACATCGGCATTATATCAGTTTTATAGGAGTTTTATCTTCGGCATTTCAAATTCAGATAAAATGTGGAGAGAAAAAGACAAAAATTGTATTAGTGATTGTTAAAAACCTTTTGACAAAGAGCAGTAAAATAACTTGTAAAATATTACTTATTTAAATCTAAAAGTCGAAGGCATGTTTTGTAATTTGAATACGGATCTGCACTGATGGTAAAACATTGATCATTCATAAATGTGTTATCACTGTGTTCAATACAGATGGGAAACCCTGGAACGAGAAAGTGGTTTAAAAATCATTCACAAAACTGGAGGTTTGCAGCTGGCGAGGAAGGGTGAAGGTGACCACGTGCTGGAGACGTACATGGCGGCGATGACCAGAGACAACGTCAAGTACGACATACACGAAATATCAAACATCAACAACAAACAAAGTTAACAAAATTCCACGTAAACATACGTATTAGAGTACAAAGTACATTTGCTCTCCGGTATCTTTATGTAAAGTATTTAATGTCGTTTTTCATTATTAGACTTAGCAGATACTTATTGTAACATATAGTGTAGTTAAACCTGATAGACTTGTCCTAATGGATTACAAAATATATAAATACCCGTGAAGATCCGGATTAAAATTGGTCTTCAGTAACCCATGCTTGTCGTAAGAGGCGACTAACGGGATCGGGTGGTCAGGCTCGCTGACTTGGTTGACACGCGTCATCATATCCCAGATGCGTAGATCGATGCCCATGTTGTTGATCACTGGATTGTCTGGTCCAGACTCGATTATTTACAGACTGCCGTCATACAGCTGGAATATTGCTGAGTGCGACGTAAACAACAAACCAACTAAATACAAAGTAGAATTTACACATGTCATATTCATTTCACTAAACTGAATAATATGACTCATACACATTTGATCGCAAAATGAAAAGTAACAGATCAGGTAGACAACGTTATAAATCAATAAATGTAATAATAATGGCCATAAGTTTGAAATCACGCATACATAAAGTTGGTCAAACGGTTTTGTTTTCAGGTTTGATCGCCTGACAAGTACGGAGTTGATGCGGCGCTTTCCTCAGTTCAATCTGGAGTCAAACGTTGTGGGGTTTTACGTGGACCATTCTGGGATAGTAGACGCCGCTATGGCTAATGCAGCCCACATACAGTTAGCCAGGGGGAATGGGGCAACTGTCATAGACAGGTGCCCCGTCACTAGGCTTCACAGGGCTAATAGCGGTAACATCATGGTAAGTATTGCCATTGAAAGTCCTGGGGCAAGGATGGTCCCGTCATCTTAGGCGCCATAATTCGGTTTGATTTTCTTGCCAAAGTTCTTTCATTGTGGGTTCGAATCTACCGTAGGTTTGTAGATGTTTCACCACAGTACCTGTGCTCGTGGGTTTTGGTCAAGTGGTCAGTGTATCAGGCCTGTATCACTTCGGGCTGTTTACTCAACTCAACAACTCAATGTTGTTCAAAATGGCGTCAGAACCGACTTCTGCTCATTCTCTCATTGTAAGTGCCAATATGTCACCGACAGTGTAAAGGTAAACTCAGCTGATTGGTGTGTCTCTCCTGCGTCACGTTCATGTCACCCTATGAACTGTGTGACACCCGCTGACGACAGAATGTAGCACTAAGAGTCACACACATCAGTGCATAATTGAATCCAGTCGATTTCTTTTATGATAATGTCAACGCGTGGATATGCGTCGACTGGGGAATTAGCTCATGTTTAAGATTAGGTGTACGTAGAATACGTTGACGAAGACGAAAGCTTAGTTGAGTTCAAACGTCTTTAGTGACATGACAAACAAATACACAAGACATAAATGAGGTGAGCGGATTACCTGCTCAACCCCAGGGCCTTTCCTACGAGCGGTTCGCGGTCGACCCTACACAGACAGTCGGAATACCGGACTCGTTCTCTGTTTCTTTCCAATATACATGTAGATGTGAGCATATATATACAGTTTTTGACAACAATGGACAGGTGACGACACAACAATGGACAGGTGACGACACAACAATGGACAGGTGACGACTCAACAATGGACAGGTGACGACTCAACAATAAAAACAATAGCACTTCCTTGAGCAGTTGATGTGATGGCAGACACGGCCAAGGGGGATAACCGATTAACGCTATTATTGTAATATACAGTGATTAATTGGCTGATAAGTCAATGTACAATGCAAGAATTTACAGTAGTGATTAAGAATACAGATTAGCGTGATATAAATTATTACAATAAAGTCTCACGCGTCTTGACTACATAGTTTTTGGACTTTTTAATTATTTGGACGATGGCTGTCCTGAATTAGTCGCTATGACAATAAGTTCGCTCGCTCAGTCCGATCAATGATCATCGCAATTTTGTCTTTTGTTTTTTTAAATGTAATTCACATAAGTTTGTTGTTAGAAATGTAACGTCTCCGTGGAGAGCATGGAATGGCCCGTTTCCGGTCCGCTTTCACCAAATCAATTTCTGCTAACACCTCAAACAGAGTGCTCTTATGCAATATAGAAATTTCATAGCAGAATATTTGGTCACGTGGTACATTAGGTGTTCCAGTTTTAGAGTTCCCATCGATGGTTTCCTTTTAAGCAAAAGCCATTAGACAAATTCTCACCAGGACATCTGATAAATAGGTCCACACAACGAAGGGCGTGTTCGAGTGCCGGAAGGTGGTGGTGACGTCTGGGGGGTGGCTCAACTCGGTTCTGGGGACGATCGGCGTCCACGTCCCCGTCACAGTCACACAGGAACAGGCGACGTTCTACGCCACGCCGCACATGAAGCTGTTCACAAAAGACAGGTATAGTTACATCCCATCACGTGGGTTGCGTACCGTCACCCTTCAGGGCCCCGTTTCACAAAGCTATCGTAGTGTTACGACTATCGTAAGTCTGTATTATTGAATTGAGGATCCATTTGCTTTAAGATTCAGTTTACCATACCCCTGTCAACACGGTGACGGAGATAGACGAGGATAAACACTTAAAATATGGCCACAGTGGGAACGTTTTCAATATTATCAGATTTAATTTAATATACTTACGATTTGCTGTTTTATAAACACATTGAAAATATATGTGATGAAGTTTATTTGTAAACGTGGGTATCTGTGAAACAAACAATACATGGTACTTTCCTTTAAAATCGGGGAATGAAATATCATAGCGTTATTGAAACATCATGTATATTCTATTTAAAAGGTTTTGAGAATATACCTACATTTGCTTCAAATTTTCAACCAAAAATAAGGAAACACACGAAATGTTAGCTAGCAAATGTGTAATGATGCTAAACGTCTTTAAGGTAATTTCGGGCGTGTATATTTATATCTGCTGTGCACACTATGCTGAGAAACACGTGCACGACACCGTGATGGCAAAATGGTGCATAACTTTCATATTTCCCAACATACCACCAGATGAGCTACTCCGAGCTGGGCCATATTGGCTCAGGGGAAAATAGTATTAACTATCCAATTAACGACTTGGTAGCCATATTTAGTAAACGACAATAGTTCCCTGTCTGTTTTATCTAACCTCTAGTGTTGCCGAGCTCAAGCAGTAAGGGCCATACCTTTCACAGGACACTGGCCTTCAGGCGACTTTGAGATTCCTAGCAGGCACACCTACTCAGGGTTTTGTGTACACGCTGTTAATGCGCGGTGTAAAATTTCATTGGGATTAGATGTTGCGGTTAGAAGAACGTTCCGATGTTGTAAATGTATACCTCAGCGATAACCACGTTGAATCCATTAGTATGCTGTTCAGGGAAAAACGTTCAATATCCAATGTTTGATTTCAATCAAAGCTTATTAATTATATCATAAAGCAAGTTGATGAAACTGGTAAAGATAACTGAACTTCATTAGTTGGGTGTCAGCTCTGTATGGTTCATTATACACTCTTCGAAAAAAAAGAAGAAGAAACCCATAGGCCAAAAATAAGGAAATTTATTATCCCTATGGTGAAACATAACCAGTGTCATATATATCGCATGTGCACATATCACTTTTGCCCAGCAACCATTGTTTCTGTAGTTCGTCCTCTGTGACGTCATTAAACAATTGAACGTAACGCCAATAACAACACAAATTTACATGAATAAAATGGATAATAAAGAAATTATTACACTCGAGCAAGTGCGTCATTGATTTAAACATATTTTATTCAGTGAAGAAAGGGATGAGGAACAAGTTATCCAACTTAGGTAACCATCTCCCGAGTATTTACAACATGATAAATATACAACAACATACATGTAATATAGAAAGAAATACGGTACAGAAATGGTAGAGACCTATGTACAGAGTTAGTTATTAAGACATGTGAAAATATTTACAGCATTCAAGAAAAACGCTTGCTATTTGATATGTAATGCTGAACTGCCTTAAATATTGCATGATTTTGAGTTAGTGATAAGTTCTTGCTGCCATTTAATAATAAATCTAAATTTAAAGCATCATCATGTACACAAATTTAAAAGGTTAAACATTTTCGTTCTGTGTTCGTTATATAGAGAACTCTCAAACATGAAGTGACAAACATTTTCTCGTAAATTCCCACATTCACATTTTGAGTCTTTCTTATGCCAATATTAAATAAATCGTAATTCAATTCACTTACATGATATCTTAAACGAGTATGAATAATATTTTGTTTGCGGATACCTGTAGACAAAATATGCTGGTGCCATGACAATAGGTTTCTTCAAATATGATTTAAACGTCTCTGTTGATAGTAACATTCGCTTTTCTAATGGGATATTATTCCATAATACTGTCGTTGATGGGATAAAAGATTGACAGGAGTGTCATGCGAGTTATACGAAAATTTTCACACTGGTTTGACACACTTGCTCGTGTAATAATCTCTTTCCATTAAACGTATTTAAGTGTGCATAAGTCGATTAAGCTTGAACATGGATGAAGCAGATTCGACACACGGATGAACATATGTATTGTTGTCATTGTCAACATTGATTCAGTTCACTCACTGCACATGTGTGGTCACAAGGGGTCCTTCAGTTCAGTACCTGGTGACACCAACACTTGCAGCTATCACTGCTCGACACTGCTTTGGAAGAGATTGCATACGTCGGATTTATTGCTTGGGGAATTCTTCGCCATTCCTCCTGCAACGCGTTGGCAAGTTCTTCAAGTGTCTGAGGACGAAGGTGACGTTTACGGACGCGTCGATGAAGTTTGTCCCATAGATGCTCGATCGGGTGAAGATCAATCGATTTGGAAAGCCATTGACGTTTGCATTGGCGACATGGGCACCTGTTACACGAGCTGTGTGGGGTTGAGAGTTGTCGTGTTGAAACAGCTCCCTCTGGCGGTTAATAAGTGGGAGGAAGTGAGGTCGCAGGATTTGGTCGATATAAGATTGCTGTAAGATTGCCTCGAATCACTTTTAGTTCTGAACTACCCGTGTAGGACATGGCACCCCACACCACAACTCATCCTCCACAAAATCTGTCCACCTGTCGAACGCAGTTCGTCGCCAAACGTTCGTGTTGACGTCGAAAGACATGTTGTCTCCCCATCCCGTCGTTGCAGGAGTAAACATGATTCATCGCTGAACCAAACGCGTTCAATGTGTTCCCCAGGTTCCATGCCTGTACCCTGTTGCACCATTGGACACGTCGTTATCGGTGTAGTCGTGTCAGGATAGATCCAACTTTTGGTCGATATGCTCGAATTCCCACTTCTCTCAGACGATTTCTGATGGTTTGGTCGGAAATTCTTCGAAGACCAGGCACCTGTCCTGCAGTGTCCGTTGCTGTAGCAATTCGGTGACGTAGGTGAAACACCCGGATGAATCGGTCCTGAGCAGGAGTGGTCACTCTTGGTATTCCACTTTTGGGACGATCCTGCGTGGAATTGAAGCGGGTATATCGATGCCATAATCGAGATATGGTGCTGTGGTGGACGTTGAAGTGTCTTGCAACGACAGACTGGGACTCCCCTGCTTTCGTAATGAAATGATGAATTTGGTTTGGCCTTTTATAGTGGATGTCTCTACTCATGTGTCCGACACATTGCACGTGCATTACGTGGAAAACAATCTGCATGCACGTTTCATGTGTCGTTTTCACGTTTATGACAAACATTTACGAACACATTTTCGGATGTGTTTCGTTAATTTACGACGTAAACGAAGATAAAAAAAATGCCAAGATTGAATGCTACTGACGGAAATATCGCCATTGGATCTTTGGAAGCAGGAGACATGATTAACGGGATTTAAACATAGGAATTATGCTAATGACGATTGGTGTCAAAATATGTCGGAATGAACTGCTGATAACGCGCACGCGTTTCTTTTTGAAGAACGTATGTGTGTGAATTGTTAAAGTACATGTGCTCCGAACATTTTTGAACAAATACAACCTGTTTCAGGTGGACACGTTACTGTAGTAAGTTTCGCCCCATCCGCCAAGAACCTATACGGATTGTGTACTTCACCTCTTACAGAAACACTTAATACCTGTTGTATCAGTAATATGAGTCATTGTTCGCATCTGTTGCCAATATGTTTCGTTAATTCGCGATTTCAAATAAGTGACGATATCAACAAAATATTGTATCATATAGATGAGAACGATGAACCTGAATCATCCCAAATTTGAGCTTCTACACTGCTGTATGTACGGCCAGACCACTGTTAATACACATGATTCAGAAAACCTTGAATTATTTCACTTCAAAGATGTTACCTGTCTAGGTTTCCAGTGTGGTGTTTCCACGGGTCCCGTTACGACATTTACACCCTCCCTATCCACGGCAACACAGGCACCAAGGTCGGCATCGACGCTGGAGGTCACGCGGTCACCGCCGACACCAGGACGTTTGATCCCGATCCAGTGCGAGAAAAGGCTTGCACTGATCTCGTCAACGAGATTTGTCCTAAGGTAGATGAATGACATAAATTTTACGAATCATGAAACATTTCCCTAATATAAATTGATATACTACAAGTTGCTCAAAATTCAGGCTCAATGGTCGGGTCAGCTTCAAATGTTTGACTCGGTTGTCCACGAGAATTAGCGCATTGTAAGTAAATTGTGTTGCATATCAATAAGTATATCTATTTTACCAGAGTGACTGACCCAGGAACAGGTTAGGCTTCCATTTAGGCAACCCAGACATATCAAGGTGGATCCGCACTTGGAACTGGCTTCAGATAATTCTTCAGGGCATTCGAACCCGGGTCTTCGGCTTGCCAGTTGGGCCACCCCTCCTTCATTGACTGCATGTTTCTGCTATAAGCAGCACAAAACATACAACACACGAGACGGAGAGTACTCCTTTCAATGTATGGTTTTCTCTTTCATCAGCTCAGAAGAATCTCTGTGAGTGCGTGCGTGAATGGTGAAGTGAGGTACCCCAGAGGTTTAAGCATAGACCGTCATCTTCACGGACACACTGTGTGAGGTCGTTTCTGCACGTTGTTAAAGGCAAGGTTGAAACTTCCTTGCTGTACTTGACGTTGTGCGCCATTGTTTTCAGTTTGCTGGACCGATCCTTAACACCAGGACCTGCCTCTACACTATGCCTCCAGATAGGAACTTCGTGGTCGACACATGCGCATACAAGGGCTGGTCTGACGTCATCGTTTGTTGTGGAGCTGGGCATGCGTACAAGTGAGATATCATACACTGTTTGTGTGACCGTCATAGAGTAAATGGTTTTAGTTCGTTATAACCATATTTCGTTATAGGCATTTCGAATATAATATACAACAATAGTTCGTTATATCCGCCCGTTCGATATAAGCTTGTTCAGTATTAACGTGGGTTACTGTACTTGTGATGTGTTTAATACTTAATTATTGTAATACATGATTATTCCAACACACGCGTCTGTGCTCGTGTATACGTGTGTGTTAGTCTGTGTCTTCGTTTGAGTTGGATTGAGTTCAAATATAAATATTATATCAGTGTGATGTGGTGCGGTGCGGTGCGGTGCGGTGAGGTGAGGTGTGGTGTGTGGGGTATTGTGTTGTGTGGTATGTAGTGTGGTGTGGTGTGGTGTAGTTGTAATCACACATCTTCAGTACGAAGTTTGGTTGCGTTTTTTCAAAACGAATTCGCTGATGACTGATTTCCATGCTTCCACGGTTCTTCCTCTTTTCAGGTTTGCAGGAATTCTTGGTAAGATCCTGAGCGAACTCGCCATTGACGGCCGAACCCAGTATGACATCAGTCGATTCAACATCACCAGAGACGCCATTCAGGACCCCACCTTTAAACCAACGTTTTTCATGGGCAGTGGAATAGAGGCGAAACTATAAGCGCAAGCGAAAGTTTCGTACACTATCAAGAGCCAAAGTGGCCGATGTGTTTACTTTAATGCGATATTATTCACACATCAAATCAGTATTAATATACAGAGTTATCGGATGTTCGAGTGATTCAAAGTCAATACGTTCCTTTAACTCATTATCTTGGAACTATAACCTTTCCCGACCCCCTGGTATCATCACTATAGTGTTTCATAAATAGTTACTGTGAATGTGGACACGATTTTACCGCTTATATTTATACATAGCGGTCCAACAGGTTTGATTAATCGAATGGCGGTGTTCATCCGAGAATAGTGACGAACTCATGTACAGCACTCTACTACACATAATCAATACTTAACGGGTGGGAAACACCTGAACTCTGGATTACCACTTTAAACCGATGTGGCACTCATAATGACGTGACAAAGAGATATATGTATGCATCATAAATATTTGAATAAATATTGAAATAGATCTTTCCAGTTTATGCTATAATTGTATCTGTATCTGTATTGTAATTGTATTCTGTGAATACAGTGATTGTATCAGATGTATTTGTCTAGATGTTGATTGCTTCCGGAAGTTCCTGTCTAGATGGTGTTTGTATCAGGATGTTCTGGTATCGATGGTGTTTGTATCAGGATGTTCCTGTCTGGACGGTGTTTGTATCAGGATGTTCCTGTCCAAATGTTGATTGCTTCCGGATGTTCCTGTCTAGATGGTGTTTGTATCAGGATATTCTTCTCTAGACTGTGTTTGTATCAGGATGTTCCTGTTTAGATGGTGTTTGTATCAGGATGTTCCTGTCTAGATGGTGTTTGTATCAGGATATTCTTCTCTAGATTGTGTTGGTATCTGGATGTTCTTCTCTAGATTGTGTTTGTATCAGGATATTCTTCTCTAGATTGTGTTTGTATCAGGATATTCTTCTCTAGATGGTGTTTGTATCAGGATATTCTTCTCTAGATTGTGTTTGTATCAGGATGTTCTTCTCTAGATTGTGTTTGTATCAGGATGTTCCTGTCTAGATTGTGTCTGTATCAGGATGTTCCTGTCTAGATGGTGTTTGTATCAGTATGTTCCTGTTCAGATGGTATTTGTATCAGGATGTTCCTGTCTAAATGTTGATTGCTTCCGGATGTTCCTGTCTAGATGGTGTTTGTATCAGGATGTTCCTGTCTAGATGGTGTTTGTATCAGGATGTTCCTGTCTAGATGGTGTTTGTATCAGGATGTTCCTGTCTAGATGGTGTTTGTATCAGGATGTTCCTGTCTAGATGGTGTTTGTATCAGGATGTTCCTGTCTAAATGTTGATTGTCTAGATGGTGTTTGTATCAGGATGATCCTGTCTAAATGTTGATTGCTTCCGGATGTTCCTGTCTAGATGGTGTTTGTATCAGGATGTTCCTTCCTATCAGTGATGTTCTAGATGGTGTTTGTATCAGGATGTTCCTGTCTAGATGGTGTTTGTATCAGTATGTTCCTGTCTCTGATGGTGTTTGTGTCTAGATGGTGTTTGTATCAGGATGTTCCTGTCTAAATGTTGATTGCTTCCGGATGTTCCTGTCTCGATGGTGTTTGTATCAGGATGTTCCTGTCTAGATGGTGTTTGTATCAGTATGTTCCTGTCTAGATGGTGTTTGTATCAGGATGTTCCTGTCTAAATGTTGATTGCTTCCGGAGATGGTGTTTGTATCAGGATGTTCCTGTCTAATCAGGATGGTGATTGTACCAGGATGTTCTAAACGGTTTGTACCAGGCTGTTCTTTTCTAGATGGTGTTTGTATCAGGCTGTTCTTTCTAGATGGTGTTTGTATCAGGATGTTCTTGTCTAGATGGTGTTTGTATCAGGATGATCCTGTCTAAACGGTGATTGTACCAGGCTGTTCTTTTCTAGATGGTGTTTGTATCAGGATGGTCCTGTCCAAACAGTGATTGAACCAGGTTGTTCCTCTCTAGATGGTAATTGTATCAGTATTGTGCCGGGATGTTCCTGTCTAACCGGTGGTTGTATCAGGATGTTTATGACTAGATTGTTATTGTACCAGGTTGTTCCTGGCTAGATGATGATTATAACAGGATGTCACCGACTAACAAGCGTTGCAACAGAGTGTTCCTGACAGGGCTGTTCTTGTTCGAACAGGGATGGCATCAAGGTGTTCATGTCTAGCCAGTGGTTGCAATGTTCCTTTATAAACATTGTGTGTTCATGTCTAGACCGTGATTATGTCAGAATGTTCCTTACTAGACATTGAATACATCTGGATGTTCCCATTAGAACAGTTCAGTGAAGACAAAAATTAATCAATCCATGTGAGTAAGGGCTTAGAAAAAATAACCCGAGGTTGATGTTACAATAGGTTGGATGTGATCAAAGAAGCTAAATGACATTTAGAAGGCATTATATATGACAATACACTTTCAGGTGCGTACCCCTGCACGCACACACACACACACACACACACAGACGCACGCACGCACGCACGCAGTTGTTCATGTCGTTACTTGTCTTGAGATATGGTGTTCCTGTCCAGACAGTACTTGCATCAGGATGTTCCCGCGTATGAAGAAGGCTTTCAACATGATATTAATGTCTACAACGGGTTTTGCAACAGGGTGTTCCTGTTAAGAAAGTACTGTCATCAGGATGTCCCTCAATTGACAGAACATGCATCACGATGTTCCTGTACAGTATTGAGAATAAGATGTGCTTCTTTCAAAATGCAGCGGGTTTCAAGCTTGTCGTAAGAGGCGACTAACGGGATTTGGTGGTCAGGCTCGCTGATTTGGTTGACACATGTCATCGTATCCCAATTGCGTAAATTGTTGTTCATGCTGTTGATCCCTGGATTGCCTGGTTCAGACACGATTATTTACAGACCGACGCCATATAGCTGGAATATTGCTGACTGACAACAAACAAACAACCAAAGCAACCAAACTGAAACACGATGTTCCTGTCAAGACCGTATTTAGATCGGGATATACACACTGGCTGCAAAAGGATGTTACTGTGCTTAAAGTTTATGCTTGCAACTGGATGTTCCAGACTAGATTATAGTAGACAAGGAATAGCGAAAGGCATGATTCCTATAACTGACATCACAAAAGGCCTTCACCCGCTAGAGCCAGAATCCGTTTACACAATAAAGTGAAGTTGTTGACAACAGGCTAGGAGCGCTGGTTCAAGCGGCCGATACAAGACGAATCTCCTGCTGTTGGTTACACAACTCAGTCAGTCATTGCCACTTCGCTGACCTCGACACAACTGAAACCTATATTAAGACTTGAAGTTTTATAATGTTAAGCCTAGACATGAGCAAAGGTCATCAGGTCGTATGGCGTGTTACTGTTGTATAAGACACACAATCAGGTGGTCACACGTTAATCCTGACACCTGATAAGACAGTTATGCCGACGAATATATTAACATGGAACAAAACAAAAATATTAAACAGACATACAGATATATTCAGACACTTCAGAAACACTATAATTACATCAGCTAAGTACAACCACAAGATAATTAACTAATGACTGTTATATATCCTAATGCACTTTGGTAAAGCTGTCCTCCACTGAATGTAAATAAAACGTTTCATGGAGTTACAACATTGGGCCCCGTTTCACAAAGCTATCGTAGCGTTACGGCTCTCAGTCTATGTTACAGTATAGGATGTACGACAGTCGTAGCGCTACGATAGCTTTGAGAAACGGGGCCGTGTTTGCAGTGTATGACACTGCCACATAACACAGCTTGTCAGTCGATTATATATTTCGATTTACATAGAAATACCATAGTTGATATACAGTTCCAGCATTACCATGTATGTTTATGAAGCGGACGAACAGGTGCCCAGTGAACCATGCTTGTCTTAGCAGCCAACGGAGGAGGTGGTGTACCATAATGGTTAAAGCGTTCACTCGTGACGCCGAAGACCCGGGTTCGATTCCACACATGGGTACAATGTGCGAAGCCCATTTATAGTGGTGTCCGCCGCTGTGATATTGCGGGAATATTGCTAAAAGCGGCGTAAAACTAAACTCACACACTCACTCATTAGCAGCCAACATTTAAAGGGTCGGGTGATAAAGATCGGTCAGTCGTAGTTTCCTCGTGGCCGATGTAAGAAATGCCTCATAACATCAATGCATAATAGTGAGTGAGTGAGTATGGTTTTACGCCCCTTTTAGCAATATTCCAGCAATATTACGGCAGGTCAATGCATAATATGAGGTAATAGCACCACCTCATCATACCAAGTTAGTTTATTACGGGTACCCGGAAGTTATGAGACGATAATTTGGTTGTAAACTTTCAGCGCCTATGGAGCGTTATTGGTTGTATACAAAGGAGCTGAGAGTGTCCAACCGGACATGTTTCAGGCTGTTTGTTCGCCATAAGAGTAAGATATATCTGGTAAAGGAAAAGTTCGTTGTACGTCTCAAACTGAATTATACATGACTATCAAATAGTGACGAACCCAGGTCTTTGCAAAAATGGGAATCCTTTACCCCGTTGGAACCTGTCGCAAATACACGCAAAACTAAATCATCAAACCATACTCAAGAATTGTGGACATACGTCTTCACAGCATATCTGGAAACGCATGTAAAATCTCTCGATGCAGCAAAAATTCAAGGCACGTAATTCGTACTAATTTTACATCACACCAGCCGCTTCTTCCAAGTACTGTATGGGTGTGTATTTTCAAACTTCAGTTGCTCACTTAATCGACTAATTATATAAATACAACACAAACATATTAACAAATAATTGTAGTTGCAACTATGGCAATTCTAGAGCTAATACATGCACAAAAGCTATTTTCAAACTTCAGTTGCTCACTTAATCGACTAATTATATAAATATAACACAAACATATTAACAAATAATTGTAGTTGGAACTGTGGCAATTCTTGAGCTAATACATGCACAAAAGCATCGTAGCGTTACGGCTGTCAGTCTAGGTTACAGTATAGGATGTACGACAGTCGTTGCGCTACGATAGCTTTGTGAAACGGGGCCGTGTTTGCAATGTATGACACTGCCACATAACACAGCTTGTCAGTCGATTATATATTTCGATTTACATAGAAATACCATAGTTGATATTCAGTTCCATCATTACCATGTATGTTTATGAAGCGGACGAACAGGTGCCCAGTGAACCATGCTTGTCTTAGCAGCCAACGGAGGAGGTGGTGTACCATAATGGTTAAAGCGTTCACTCGTGACGCCGAAGACCCGGGCTCGATTCCACACATGGGTACAATGTGCGAAGCCCATTTATAGTGGTGTCCGCCGCTGTGATATTGCGGGAATATTGCTAAAAGCGGCGTAAAACTAAACTCACACACTCACTCACTAGCAGCCAACATTTAAAGGGTCGGGTGATAAAGATCGGTCAGTCGTAGTTTCCTCGTGGCCGATGTAAGAAATGCCTCATAACATCAATGCATAATAGTGAGTGAGTGAGTATGGTTTTACGCCCCTTTTAGCAATATTCCAGCAATATTACGGCAGGTCAATGCATAATATGAGGTAATAGCACCACCTCATCATACCAAGTTAGTTTATTACGGGTACCCGGAAGTTATGAGACGATAATTTGGTTGTAAACTTTCAGCGCCTATGGAGCGTTATTGGTTGTATACAAGGGAGCCGAGAGTGTCCAACCGGACATGTTTCAGGCTGTTTGTTCGCCATAAGATATATCTGGTAAAGGAAAAGTTCGTTGTACGTCTCAAACTGAATTATACATGACTATCAAATAGTGACGAACCCAGGTCTTTGCAAAAATGGGAATCCTCTACCCCGTTGGAACCTGTCGCAAATACACGCAAAACTAAATCATCAAACCATACTCAAGAATTGTGGACATACGTCTTCACAGCATATCTGGAAACGCATGTAAAATCTCTCGATGCAGCAAAAATTCAAGGCACGTAATTCGTACTAATTTTACATCACACCAGCCGCTTCTTCCAAGTACTGTATGGGTGTGTATTTTCAAACTTCAGTTGCTCACTTAATCGACTAATTATATAAATACAACACAAACATATTAACAAATAATTGTAGTTAAGCATTCTATCCCCATGTAACGAAAACAGCAAAGATTTATTCAAATACAAGCTGCGTTTTGACAGTTAATTGTTGAATTTATTTGACGCTAATCATATATCCTTTGTTACCTAAAACAAAGCATTTCGGTTAGTTGCCTGTTTGTGTCCCTTTGACGTCTAAATAGTCCCTCATTTCAAGCACACTGTCCTGATTGACATCAAGTCGAGTACAGCTACATTTCCTATTCCGTCCTTAATGGCCTGTAGTTTGGACTTCGGTAAACGAGACAGTGGATATAGTGTGTTACATTGGCTTTGTCATATCCCATCTCCTGTTCCCTTAAAGACAATAACAAATTTATCCAAATCTTTGAACAGCAAGAATCTACTTCTTTGATGGGCATTTTAGAAGTTGAGTTGATGAAGAATGATGACAAGTTTTATGGATATACAACTTTTTTTATTCTGTGAAACGCGACGTTTCGACATAGATTCTAATGTCCTTGCTTGACAACAAGATTCTCATTCTATATGCTCAAAGTTTGCAACTCTCAACTTTCAACTCCCAATCCAGAGTGACTCTCAGTTTCGTGGCTAAGAAATGCTATCCTACGTTTGTTTCTAATTTCTTTCTAATTATTATATATAGCAACTGAATTTGTTTTGAGAAATTTTAAAGGCACAACGTCACACATTTTCGACAATATGTTGGCCTATATTATACAGAATGGGGCATATGCACTCACTTCAGGGTCCTTCACACTTATTTCGAATTGACAGGAATCAAGGAGAATCAGCCAAAAAAATATTTCCAAAATTCGAACCGCATTTGGGAGAGAATGTCAAAATAAACATTTTTTTCAAACTTGGTAAGAATGCTGTTGGAATACTTAGAACGCACTTTGAACCCGCCTCGAATGATTCTTACTCATTCCAAATGTACTAGATCACGAATGCAGCTCGAATGAATCGGAATACAGTAGGGATAATTAGAATGCCGTTAGAATACACTAAGAATACTTAAAATGAATTTCGACTGCAGTACGAGGCCGGTTCGATTGCTGCATGAATAGCACTCGAATTTCAGTTGGAACGTACCTCGAATGCTGTACGAATTTACATAGAATGCATTCAGAACCCCCTTGGAATGACCCCCGAATATGAATAGAATGTTAAAGAATTAAAACAGAATGCAGCTCAAATATTTCAAATGTCCTTCAAATGCACTTAGAATGTAACACAAATGTCCGAAATGCATCAAGAATGCTGCCGGAATGTTCCAAGATGGGGTATAAAAACATGTTGAATCTGGACTATTCATCAGTCTCTGCCCAACTCCTATACAGTATGGACCCCCTGGACCATGTTGCGTTGCTCCAGATTGCTGTCCTCCAGCAAGCCCTGATTGAAAGAGATGTGGAGGAGACCAGGCGAAGAAACAGGAGAAGACCCAGGAGATTCCAGACCAGACCATGGCTGACAGAGGAAAGGAGGAGGCTGTATGGACATTACACAAGACTGATGGAGGAGCTCAGAGTTGGGGACACGCAGTCATTCTTCAACTACCTTAGGATGGAGCCTGCCATGCTTGATGAGTTGGTGCAGAAAGTGGGACCAAGAATATAGAATATATGAGATATATATGCGAAAGGCGCTACCTCCAGACTTGAAGCTAGCCATAACATTGAGGTTCCTGGCTTCAGGTGATAGGTACCCCAGCATCATGTACAGCTTCCGCGTGGCAAGGAAAACAATCAGCCTTATGATCCCAGAAGTATGTAAGGTCGTTGTGGAGGAATACAAGGATGAGGTTATCATCTTCCCTACCACTCCAGAAGAATGGGCACCCATTGAAGAGGTATTCAGAAACAGGTGGAATATTCCTCATGCCGTAGGAGCTTTAGATGGCAAACATGTGGCCATTAGGAAACCTGCCAAGAGCGGCCCATTGTACCACAACTACAAGGGCTTCTTCCCTGTGGTCCCCATGGCCCTTGTGGATAGAAATTACAAGTTCCTGTGGGTGGACGTTGGTGCTTACGGAAGTATGTCTGATGCTCAGATCTTCAACGAGTGCGAGCTCAAGGATTGCCTTGAAGACAGGAGCATGGGATTTCTTGATCCGTTCCCCTTACCCCAAGATGACGAGCGTATGCCATGCTTTATTCTGGGAGATGATGCCTTTGGAATAAGGGGCTTCTTGATGAAACCGTCTGGTCATAGTATATCCAGAGAGACGAGAGAATCTACAACTACAGGATCACCAGGGGCCGACGGGTAGTCGAAAATGCATTTGGAATCATGGCCCAGAGTTGGAAAATCCTCCTCACCACCATGCTGCCAAGGTCTTCCGTTTTGAAGGACATCATTGAATGCTGTGTCTGCCTGCACAACTTGATGAGGACTCGTTATCCTAATCTCCACATTGGTATGGTGGATGAGGAAGATGAGCAGCACAACGTGGTGCCAGGAAGCTGGAGACAACTTGCGCAGCTTGAAGATGTGAATGATATCTGAAGTTTCAATGACAGGTGGCTACGTTTTTATGCGATTCGGCGGTGTTCTGATGACGTCAGGGCTCATTTGAAGAGCATTCGGGACGTTCTGACTGTATTCGAGGTGTATTCGATGTACATTCTAGCTGTATTCCAAGTGCAATCGAAATATTCCGATACGTTTGAAGCATATTCCACCTAAATTCCACCAGCAATCGAAATACATTCGAGGCGCATTCGGGACATTCTTGCAGGATTTGAAGTGGCTTGCCTTTTCGATTCTCCCTCGAACACGTACAGAATGCTTAGAATGCAGTTAGAATGCAGTAAGAATGCAGTAAGAATACTTAGAATGCAGTTAGAATACACTTCAAATGTTGTTCGATATTTTTCCACTTCGAATGTACCTCGAAAGTTTTGAACATGTTCAAAACATTCGGGCATGTTACAAGAATTGACACGAATAGTTGGAGTGCATTCGGAATGGAGTAAGAAGTTTTAGAATGCAGTTCGAATTTCCAGGAATCTCCAGGAATTTTCATTCCGACGGCATTCCGGCTCATTCCGCCTCAAGTGTGAAGGGGGTATATGATAGGCTGATAGTTAATATTATTAAGGGCTGATAGTTTGTATTATTGAGAGAAATGCATTATTTAATTGTAGAGAAGTGTGGTGTGATATAGTGCCTTTAAGGGATAATAACTCACAGATTTCTATTAATCCGAGTCATTCACTGTTCATTTGGGGATATTTTTGTAACCATATGTTTAGATGTGCACAACCTAACCCAACCTGATCGTGCGTTGAAATTCATTAACATATGGGCCGAGCCCGACCTGTCACGTCAGACATCGTGATCATCTATTTTCTCTAGGATTCTGAAGGCCCGGGGACACATTCAGTTACTGTTAGATAGGCAGCAATGTATGTTGTCGTTTCTCTAGTAGCTACTCTGCTACTAACTAAGGAGGAATTATAACTGTCAGGATTCATAACACGACAACCATTGTGAATCTCCAACACACATACTTATATATAGCCAGATAACTGAAACAGATGTCAGGGTCACCAAACCTGTTTTCACATGTCACACGACATAAATATTCAACATGTCTGCAGACGTAAAGATAATTCATTCCACCAATAAGCTTTACCGATTACAAGTCCAACATTCCACATAACTATAACCAGAGTTATCTTTCCATGGATGATCATGGAGCCTCACAGGTTGGAATTGGAACATTGTGACCTATATTTTATTGATAGTACAGCTTCGTGAAGGTTCACTACAGTTCGTGTAAGCAGCTGGTCCGATCACGAGCGGCGTTTATACAGAGTCCTCTTCCCCTGTCACATAGTTGTTACACAATGGCTACTTCTAAACGACAGTACTTTGAGTACATTGTCATTGGTTGTGGAGGGATAGGCAGTGGGGCTCTGTACTGGTTGTCTAAGCGTTCTAGTTCAGGTGAGAGATGTTTATATAACATACTATTCAGTCATGCTTGTTTACTTGGTCTGTCATGCACTTGGAAACTTGATGTATGAAACATGTCCTGGTGGTCAGGCTCGCTTACTTGTTAACACATGTCATGGTATCCCGATGGCGTAGATCGATGCTCATGCTGTTGAGCACTGGATGGTCTGGTCCAGACCGCCGCCATATAGCTGGGATATTGCTGAGTGCGGCGTTAAACAACAAACCAACCAATCCTGTACGAAAGTGGGACTGCTTCATGACATGAGGGGAGAAACCTGCCGAAGACCTGGGTTCGATTCCGCACATGTGTACAATGTGTGAAGCCCATTTCTGTCGTCCCCCGCCTTGATATTGCTGGAATATTGTTAAAAGCGGTGTAAAACCAAACTTCCTCCCTCACTCACTCATGGCTTGAAGGACAGACAGCGGTGTTGCTCGCAGCCATGCCCAAGTATATTTCTGATCAATAAATATAACATTCATCAGAGAAAGGGTAAACATATGCTCACATCAAATATTTTTGTGAATGTGAGCATATACAAATGGTATGGCAGCTAATAGATAATTATACTTACATTTACTTTGAACCAGCTCATTTATAATGCTATATACCAAACATACTTAAATTCGAATATACATATCTACATATCATGTACATAACCAGGTCAGTGACCAAACTTGGCATGATATATATTATGTACTGTGCAGACTAATCAAATCACAGCAACAATAATGCAAGCATATACATAATGTTGACACATTTCCATAAGTTAAAATCCTGATTCATTCGTATAATGTAATTTCATACTTTGATTGATTTCGAACGTTACACACGTATACATAACATAATATGTAACGCAGTTTCCCATATCTGTATGTTTCACATTCTTACCTTCATACTCCCTACTATCATACATAACTTATATTACTGGAAGATTTAGATAATGTTATACGCATGAACTTTAATTAAGCATCACTGGAATCCAAGGGCGATTTAAAAAGTTTTTGTTCAAAGAGGTGATCATACCCTGGCATACCAGAATGCACATTTAAATTACATTTGTGACGTCATTCCATTGTCTGCTGTCTGTGTAACAATTTCAAATTTAAGACTTCATGTTGTAATTTTGACATTTAATTTTGATAACAGAAATATTACTAATACTTTGAATGTAATTTAAGGAGGGTAATATCCTCGTAACTCTCCATTTGTTAAAAATAAGGAATGGAGAGTTACTCGGACATTACTCTCTACGTAAAACACGTGCTGCCGCAGTCATTCTCTGTATTCTTGACACCATTGGATCGCCAGCCGACGACGCTGATCAGAAGTGTCGGGCGAATACCTGCGGCGCAGTTCTGGTATTGCTGTAGTTGTAGAGATGGTCGTGGTAAGTACGACCCAGTACCCGTCCCCGTATCTGAGTAGGTCACGTTTTGACCCCTGCATCTGATAACGGCACCATTGTCTTGTAATGGTGCTTGGCAACAGGTTGAAAAACTGGCTACGGCCGAAGCCGAGACATCTGTCGCCTGATGGCGTTGTTGCATTGAACTTCTTTCCATTTGCTGCAAATGAAACACATGGTTTTCCAGAGCCAAACAGTTATTTCATGTTAGGGACCGTTTATAATGTATGGTTTGGGGGAGAGGGGGAATTAATAATAATTCACTCCCGCATTATTTTTACATAGTAAGCCATTGCATTTTATATTTCAGTCCTTGGTCTCGAGCAGTTTTCTCTCGGTCATGAGCGAGGAGGCTCACAAGACGTATCAAGGATCATGTAAGTTTGGCAGATAACTGGAATTTGGGTACGTTATTCGAGAAGATAATAGCCAATGGATAAAAGCGGTATCCGTTGGGGGCATATATGGACAAAGATGCAAATATGAAGGTCAAGTAGGTATCACAATTTGAAAAAAACAGATCGATATTAAATGTAATGTCATTAAAATACGATCTATAGACCACCAGCAATTAGGCTAGACCACCTCACTGGGGATCATGCTGACTTTCTTTTGTGGTTTCCATGAATCACATGTAACGGTAATCTGATAGTCACAGTGATCCCACCCGACACCATTAATTTGTCACCCATAACGTCCATTCCGTCCGCGCCACACTCTGCACCTGTCAAGGAAGTCCAAAGTAACCTTGATTCATCAGAAATTCTACCATGGCTCGTGAAATGCTCGATTTTGATTGGTCAATCAATAAAATTAGACGCTATCAATTTTGGATTGAAAATTCGTCTGATTTCATGACCGCTTCACTGCGCACGTATACAACACTGCCGCATCAGCTTGACCACCAACATGGCTAATATCAACACAACATACGTGATGGAAATGCTGATAAAACATTTATTAAAACTCGAAAAAATATCCAAGGGCGATTTAAAAAGTTTTTGTCCAAAGAGGTGATCATACCCTGGCATACCAGAATGCACATTTAAATTACATTTGTGACGTCATTCCATTGTCTGCTGTCTGTGTAACAATTTCAAATTTAAGACTTCATGTTGTAATTTTGACATTTAATTTTGATAACAGAAATATTACTAATACTTTGAATGTAATTTAAGGAGGGTAATATCCTCGTAACTCTCCATTTGTTAAAAATAAGGAATGGAGAGTTACTCGGACATTACTCTCTACGTAAAACACGTGCTGCCGCAGTCATTCTCTGTATTCTTGACACCATTGGATCGCCAGCCGACGACGCTGAAATTCTACCATGGCTCGTGAAATGCTCGATTTTGATTGGTCAATCAATAAAATTAGACGCTATCAATTTTGGATTGAAAATTCGTCTAATTTCATGACCGCTTCACTGCGCACGTATACAACACTGCCGCATCAGCTTGACCACCAACATGGCTAATATCAACACAACATACGTGATGGAAATGCTGATAAAACATTTATTAAAACTCGAAAAAATATCCAAGGGCGATTTAAAAAGTTTTTGTCCAAAGAGGTGATCATACCCTGGCATACCAGAATGCACATTTAAATTACATTTGTGACGTCATTCTATTGTCTGCTGTCTGTGTAACAATTTCAAATTTAAGGATATGATTTTTCCTCCACAATTATTAGGGAACCTCACTGTCATGTAACCTTCTATAATAAAAATATTCAAACTCAATTACAATACACAGCCCCAAACATAAACAAACAATATCTAACATGTGGCCTGCGACCTCGTTGTATCGCGGTACTTGACATATCCATGATAGGAAATAAAATGGTGAACTTTTAAGGCCTATTTTGTTTTATTACAATACACAGCCCCAAACATAAACAAACAATATCTAACATGTGGCCTGCGACCTCGTTGTATCGCGGTACTTGACATATCCATGCTAGGAAATAAAATGGTGAACTTTTAAGGCCTATTTTATTTTATTTTTATTATATCCAATTAACATGACATTTAATCAACACATTTGTGAAAAAAGTATTATTTTAAGTTTGATATAATAGTGTTTCGGCGAGAACCATAAGACGAACGAGTGAGTGAGTGAGTTAAGATTTTAAGTCACATCGGCAATATTTCAGCCATATCGTGACTAAAGCAAGTTATAAATATATCAACAATTTAAGTGAAATTATAAAATTCTGCCAACGAAGGACAGTAAAATAACTAGATTATCACAGATATATATATGTAAAACTAGTAATTGAATCTAAAACATTTTAACTATAGGGGACAACACAATATAAAAATGGGCTATAGATCGCTAACAACTGAAGGTAGATCACCATACTAGGAACCATGGGGACCTACAGTACATTTGCTTCCTGCATGGGCCCTAGCTGGATTTACATCATCCCCTCAGCTGTTAGCAATTGAGATATATCTAGCCATACGTTAAAATTACACATATTCTACGATTAATAAACGGAAAGTTGAAATTTACTTTGAATGTTTTGGGACTTACGTAATTAGACGAACGAAGCCGGTTAATATTTACCAAAGGATCGAACTCCATCGTATCGCGGTAAACATTAAAACTCGGATTGCAAGACGAAGTAGGGAACAAAAAATGAAATTGCTCACCTTAATGTGAAATCAGTTGAGATATTTTTTGTTATCCAAGGTGCACAAAACTGTATCGATTATAAAATTTTATTCAAGGAAAACACCAAACTTCCAAAATATATCATTTTCATCATGAATTTCTTAATATTTGTTCATACTGTTTCATTTTTTATTTATTTTAGGCATGATTTCAAACTTATTTCAAGGCAAAATATCATTTGAAATAATGTGATAAAATAAATAAATAATTATGTGTACAACAGTATGATAAATTCCTTTCTAAATTTCTATTTTGTTAAAGTGTGCAAAATCGTTTTCATTGAACAGGGATCATTTTACGCTTTTTGTCCTTATTTGAATTACAACATTTGGTATTCACCGGGAGATAAATAAAGCTCATGACGTCACTTCCGCTACCTTATATGGCAACAATGAGATGCAGACGACCTAGTTCAGATCGAGTGGGAAGGGTCATATACGACATGTGAATGTTATAGCATGTAATTCATGGATGGGGGGTCAGACAGATTCCAAAAGATTCCAGAGTTTAATGTTAATATTTCTGCTGTTTAATACTTACGAAGATTTGATACATCCTGCTGGTTTCTAAAAAGTAAACAAGCGACTGACGTCTGGCTGTCGATTTACATATGCAAATCACCGCTAGGACGCGTGTCTCGCGCAGAAAACCCGAAATACCGTTTGCCCCGATACCATGAATGCCGCGATACAACGAGGTCCGAGCATAAATCAGAAAGCTTTGTAAATTTCATCCCTATATATACAAAATGTGCAGCAAATCCTTACTAAACATTTACCTACCTGGTAAATGGTATATTTGTTTCCGTTTAGAATCATAAGAATGGGAAATTCGCAAGATAACGGTAAGGCGAAACACAAAATGTATGCCACTCACACTCCATCAGGTCCCGTAGCTTCGTTAAAAAAATACATGTAAAAATTTGAACCACCAGAATTCCGCTCTCTGCCAGCTTCCCCACAAGGCTGTCACTGCTGGTGATTTTTGTTCGTACACTTTGAAAAAAAAGTTTGGCCACAATCCAGTCCCAAATGATGAAAACAATGTTCCAAGGAATCCCAAGTTAGTCGCATGTAGACAAAGCAGCACTGTCACTCTTTTCGTCGCATGCCGGGATGGAGGCACCTACAGCCTATGTAAGGTGAAATCATGATCCACACTCGCTGGTCATACAAATCTTTGAATAGTTACAGGTCGTAGGTCGATCAGAAAAGGATCTATTCTTCGATTCTGCAGGGTTCAGATTCGACAGTCAGTCAAGTATTTTCCACTGTCACTCAAAATGCAAACACTGGCTGTCCGCTATTTCAAACTGTTGCGTAACTGTCAACAACTACAGACTGCGTTTCCAAGAAAGGTCCAAGTAGGTCAGATGATTCCATTATAGTGTGGCCAGGGGGTTAGAGTAACACGGCACGCAAAACAATAGGCTGATTTCGGTCGTGTGGAGTTGGTATTATATAAACCAAGCTCTTAGGTATTACATTATTGCATTGAATAAACAGTAGTTAGTTTTCTTTGGACAGAATATTATATATGTTGCAATGTTTAAAAAAATACGAACGGCACCTTCCACTCCCTTCACAGACGAGTTCAATTCGCCTCTCGCATCCTGCCGGATTTCGCAGTGTCTTCCGCGGAATGAAGGAGTTCGATTTTAAATCGGTTATGGTAGAATGGAGATAAACGTACTGTGCTGGGAAATTAGATGAATGTTAGGCAGAATTGATAGTCTCTAAATTAATCATTTGAAACCTCAAGCTACGCGTTCGGTTCCAAATGAAATTTAGAGACTATTAATTCTGCCTAACATTCATTTGAAACCTCACGCTACGCGTTCGGTTCCCAATGAAATTTAGAGACTATCAATTCTGCCTAACATTCATCTAATTTCCCAACACAGTACGTTTATCTCCTAAACATAACATTTGCCCAAAGCAGTAATGTCCCGGTCTGTTTGTACATCACTGGACATCGGGCATGCAGGATCTGTCTGTCCATTCGCTCTGACAACTGTACATATAGTCCGTTTGGCTCAAAAGCGGACCGATGAATTGCATTCTAACTCGAAAGCTAATAAACATAAAATACACAATGAAACACTGATCATAATGAAAACGTCAGACCAGCTCTGTGAGGTTTGTGCAGAATATATGTCCTAAAAATAAAAAAGTTGTTTAACAAACTGTCATTAAAATATTGACACAGTTCACTATTTGTTACGAGGGAGGAGTGCAGAGAAAGGGACAGCCAGGTGTGCGATAAAGGATGGAGACGGCACAGCACAGGTTAATGAATAAATAACTTTGTCGGCACTTGTGCACGTGCTTCTCTAACACCTGACTGTCCCTTTCTCTGTACTCCTCCATCGTAACAAATAGTGAACTGTGTCAAATTTTTAATGATAGTTTGTTAAACAACTTTTTTACTTTCAGGACATAAATTCTGCAAACAATTGCAAATCACGGAGTTGGTCTGACGTTTTGATTATGATCAGCGTTTCATTGAGTGTTATATGTATATTAGTTTTCGAGTTAGACTGCAATTCATCGGTCCGATTTTGAGCCAAACGGACTATAGCTCTGTGAAATACATCTCCCAATTTTATCGCGTTCACAACGGTTTGTAGCAAAGTCTAGTGCGCCAGGTGTCGCCCTTGGTCGACCGGATCGACGTCTGTCATCAAAGTAATTTGTCTGTCGATATGTTGACTGCAATCTGCTAATCACCGTGGAACATGAAAAGTACATGCCATGATACTTATATTTTGTTCCGGCTTCCAACATGCCAAATGCACGTAGCCGTTCCTGACAATAAAACAACAACTTTTTATCACTAAAATTTACAGCAACACACTGGCATGTTTCACTATTCATTTCGATTTTTACCCCGACCATGTTCACATGCACATCATGAAAAATGTTTGGCCGAATTCATAACACGCTGTGAATGTAATAATCGTTTTCTAAATCAATATACAAACATAAAACTTGGTTCTCAATTGGAACAATGCCACCCTCAAATTCAATATCCTACCTTTTCAATAGTACATTAAAAACAAAGTGTTCTGTGAGTGCTGACTAAGCGTCAGTACAGTGTTTTAGGTACACTATCGCAAAATTGTTCAAATTCATACAAATGATAAAATCGACTTAGAGCTATCGTTTCTTTTGCTCCTCAGATTAAAATTCGTTCTCAGATGTACTAATTCTAGATAAAAAGTGACTAATATTTGGTTCCAATAAATGAGATTTTGGCAAACACCTGGTATCAACAGTTATTTTCAGTGACCATTCATGTGATTTTCACATATACTCATGCCAATAATGGTTGTCACCCCCTCCCCACCCCCACCCCACACACACCTCACACCACACCCCACCCACACCCCTCTCCAATTCAAAAATTGAAGGGGGTGAGAACCATTATTGGCATGAGTATATATCTTGATGTCAGCAGAGTGGAATCAGTCTCTGGGGATAGTCAAAATATGATATCCTTTTGCACTGACGTTTTATATCTACGTGAAGTTTCTAAAATCATAGGTGGGTTCAAAAGTTTGGAGTACGTGCTTAGATTAGATTCTTTATGCTAATAAGTGTTCTGACAAAGCATATTTGTTTTTGGTATATGGTTGTTAATGATATAAACAGGCATACATTGACAATGGAAGCGGATAGGTATCTACTAAAGTATCCCCGAGACTTTAGTGATAAAGATGTAACATATATACAGGTGGTTGTTGTGTTACAGCCGACTGACGTACCATGATGACCGCTACACCAAACTGACTCCAGACACCTTCAAGGCGTAAGTGAATGCTTGTTGAATGAGTCAGTGAGTGAGTTGCGTCTCAAATAGTTGCCGAAAGACTCAAAACGTAAAACTCCGAAAATACTATCTTGACATCCCAGCTGTCTCTGATCAAATATGGGATTTCATCAAGGCGTCAATTGGTAGTGAAACAAAAATGCTAAAATATTGAAATGCCTCAGTGGAAATATTTTCCGTAAAATCTAAGAAAATATAACAGATATTCTTTGTATCTACTGAAAATAAAATCTGATATATCTTTAATATTTTGAGGGATATATTTCCAGAGCATGCTATTTCAGCAAAAATGTCCCCCCAAATATTCATGCTCCACAATTTTTGCGAAATAAAGAGATATATTCATTCCTAGCAAAGAGACAGCACTGAGTCACACCTTCTATTACAAACGTATGCCAAAATTAATTTCATATGTGTAAGCAGCGTTTTAGGATTAAACGGCTCTTAGCATCAACCCTCAATGACTATCGTTAACATCAAGTCATATTTTGTGTTGTCCGAGTGCAGTTGGGGACAGATAGAGCGCGAGTCCGGCCTCCAGGTCGTGTGGATGACCGGGGGTCTGCAGCTGTCCAGAAAGGGACAGACTGACGCCATCATGGAGAAGTACGCCGTAGCTATGGACAGAAACAACATCAAGTACGTCATTAAGTGATATCGTAATAGCGAATGAATATGAAATTTACTTTTGATTCTTCCAGAAAGCATACCGTGTGTACAAACTGAATTATGTGCACGTCATTTCTTCATCAGATACGACAGGTTGTCAAACAAGCAACTGATGGCCCGCTACCCACAGTTCACAGTGGGTCCAGATATCGTGGCCTTGTACCAGGAGCAGGGCGGCCTCGTGGACGCGGCCATGGGGAACGCTGTCCACATTCAGCTGGCCAGGGGTAACGGGGCTACAATCCTCGAGAACTGTCCCGCTACCAGGCTGACTAGGGCCAACAACGGCAACGTCATTGTACGTACTTTACATCACCAGCAACAACGTCATTGTACGTACTTTACATCGCCAGCAACAACGTCATTGTACGTACTTTATATCATTGACATCAACGTCATTGTACGTACTTTACATCACCAACATCAGCGTCATTGTAAGCACTTTACAGCACCAGTATCAACGTCATTATACGTACTTTACATCACCAGCATCAACGTCATTGTACGCACTTTACATCACCAACATCAGCGTCATTGTACGTACTGTACACCACCAACATCAGCGTCATTGTACGTACTATATATCACTGACATCAACGTCATTGTACGTCCTTCACATCACCAGCAACAACGTCATTGTACGTACTATACATCACCAGCATCATGGCCAGTGTACGTACTTTATATCACTGACATCAACGTCATTGCACGTACTTTATATCACCGACATCAACGTCATTGTACGTACTATACATCACCAGCATCATGGCCAGTGTACGTACTTTATATCACTGACATCAACGTCATTGCACGTACTTTACATCGCCAGCATCATGGCCAGTGTACGTACTTTATATCACTGACATCAACGCCAGTGTACGTACTTTACATCACCAGCATCATGGCCAGTGTACGTACTTTATATCACTGACATCAGTGTCATTGTACTTGATTTACACACTCGACATTAAAGTCATTGTACGTACTTTACATCACCAACATAACTGTAAATACTTTACAAGCCCTAAATCAACGTCGTTATACATCTTCAACATGCTGGATAGCAACATCACTATACTTTACATCGATAACATCAACGCCATTGAACGTACTTTACAAGCGCAAGATCAAAGTTGTTGTACGTTCTTACAAGCACATCAGCATCTGAAAAATCATTTCACTACTTGCCAGTGTCAGCTGTAATGCCATTGTATGTACATATACATACTTGCCTTACAGTAGATGAGAAACGATCTACACAGAAGACCCAATTCTGACTTCCAAGCCTACCCTAAAACACCTTCGCATATAGCATTGTAGAGGCATAGATCATAGAAACAAACAAATGTCAACTCTTTATTATACTGGCAGTCGACAGATGTCGATGGATAAAATTTACAACGTATTTTTCGAACAAGAAAATACATGATTCTTTGCTGAAGCTGATCAAGCATTCTATTGTCAGGTCCACACAACGAAGGGCGTGTTCGAGTGCCGGAAGGTGGTGGTGACGTCAGGGGGTTGGCTCAACTCAGTTCTGGGGACGATCGGCGTCCACGTCCCCGTCACCGTCACACAGGAGCAGGTGACGTACTACGCCACGCCGCACATGAAGGAGTTCACCGAGAAAAAGTGAGTACAAACCAACTCTGACCATGACTTGCTGGATGGTCTCTCTGCTGTCATTGTCACCAATTCTCTTCCTAGGGAAAAAATGCCGAAAAGTAGGAAAGCCATTGTTTTCTATATGGTTGCTGTAAAATTCAAATCAAAGTCTGCAGGAGTGGAACATAAAACATGATTTTTGGTAATGGGAGTGAGGTGATGGAACAAAAAGACCTAAAATCGAAACCTTGACAAGAACGAACGCCAAACTTATTTCTTTGGTTCAAGCGGGTAAGACATTCTCATAGGTACCAGTTACTTTACGCATATGACTTGAAAGCTTCAGGTGTATTGACCATCTCATGTCGTTCAATAGCCATCAAATAGCCTATTCTCTTGCACCTACTTACCCACCTGAACTTAAAATAAAGTGGACCTGGGACACCGCTTCCTCTGTTCATATGTATATCTGATTTAAACATATGGAGGCGGTGGGGTAACCTAGTGGTTAAAGTTTTGCTAAGGACCCGGATTCGATTCCCACATGGGTGCAATGTGTTAAGCCCATTTCTGGTGTCCCCGGCCGTGATATTGTTAGAATATTGCTAAAAGCGGCGTAACACCATACTCACTAACAACTCACTCACTCACTCACTTAAACATAATTATGGGTTCAGAGTGTCAAAACACTAAAACTTCAACTATCTAATAGTCAAGTTATTCCTGCCGCTCCAGGCTTTATTGGTTACATTCCAGAACCTTTAAGGTACAATCGAGCATGCCTGTTTACCAATACTTCAAAGAGCATCATACAACTGATGTTCAGAAGGTGTTTTATCACTGACAGGATTACGTCTTTCAATGCCTCACAGAAGCTTTCAAAAGTTTTATGGTAAACTTGGGGAGAAATTCCAAATTTGACATCAGTGCATGCTGTCCGATGAAACAGAAGTATCAACGGTCACATGGTATCATCACTCAGTGACAATGATTCATTAACGTTGACTATGCTATAGTCGTAATCGTACTGTCGATTCTGCTTTAGCAGAGATTTCTTTGGAGTATGGAATGGGTTTGTCACTTATATTTAGCTTGCTGGATCTGCTGGTGTCGGGGTCAAATCACAGAAACGCCCCAGTTATGATGCTTGGTTAGTCTTTGGTGAACATCTCGTTTCCTCCCATACATGGTTTCCATCTGACATATGTTACAAGTTCACCTCAATGATTCACTCACTATAGGATACCGTCTTTGCAGCCGTTGTCACCTAATGTCCTTAGAACACGCTAATTTCAAAGAAGTTTGACAAGTTCAACAAATTTCAAATGGTCCTGATCATATCGAAACCTGACTACAAGTTGGAATATCCTGTCTGATAGGTACCCCATCTGGATTTTCCACTGCCCCCGTTACGACATCTACGCCCTTCCCATCCACGGCAACACGGGGTCGAAGATCGGGGTCGACGCCGGGGGTAATATAGTCACCGCTGACACAAGGACCTTTGAGCCGGATCCTGCTCGAGAGCGGATCTGTACAGAGCTCCTGCAGGAGATTTGTCCCAAGGTAGATGTCCCACTGTACTAAAACCTATACACCACTGATAAACTAGCCATCAACCCTAAACATACACATTTCCCCAATGTAATTACATGGAACTAGTAATTTACTAGTAGTTACTCCTACTAGTAGTTACTGTACAACAACTGCATTGTTCAACTATCCATCGTATTTCGTGTACCTTGATAGTATGCTAGTCGAAGAGGTATTAAACCTCGATCTATTAAAAGGATTCAGTTCTTATGTTGAAACTGTGGTAATTGACATAAACGACATTTACTAACCCTGTTATCGTGTATTACGGCCCCCAATTTACTGATCTTTTCTTTCTGAGACCATCTCAGCATCTCATGTTTATGATATATGACGAGCTTTGAGGAAAAGCGCACTAAACGTGTTTGAGAAGGATACGAATTAGTCTTATGGCAGGTCCTGTTAAACAGTTTACAAAGACAAAAAAATCTCCTTTCAATTTCAAAGCACATTACTTGTGTTAACATAGGCAGTTGACCAGCCACAGTGATGTTATGTTGTAGCTGTTGTTGTTGTTGTTATTGTTGTTATTTGTTTGTTTGTTTGTTGGTATCACAAAGCAATTTTCCAGCTAAACGACGGCGGTCTATCAATAATTTTCAGCTACAGTACTATAATATGCTTTAACAAGATAGAAATGGTTTGTTGGTAGATCACCTCGTTACATGTATAACTGATCTTTATCCAGTAAAAGCAAACTACTTATGCAAAAAAAGAAAGAGTAGTGAGCCTAACTATGTTCTCGATGTCCAATGTTTGAAAAGTTTCCAGTTTATATTGAAGGAATCATTAGCAAAGCCATATCCAAAATTTCACATATGTGGGTAGTGCGGTTAATGAGATATTAGTCATCACAACACATTATGGTATAATTATATTTCTGAAATAATTGCAGAAGTTAAAAAACGATATATCATTTAGTACCTCTTGGATAATGGTATGCCCTCAGATAATATCATATAAAATATGTCAGTACGGTGTTGGATGACCGGTCATAATCAATTGCAACAATCAAAGATTTGGTTTGCTTAATTTAGATTTAGACGGGGGCTGTTAAGGACACTCTCATTTTAATCTTTCAAAAACATTCAAGCTGACACTGTTTACAATATATTGAGAGCTGTCACGTGTGTCCATTCAGTATTTTGTTTGAACCCTTGGCATCATGTATGAATAAGTAAAAACATTACAATAAGTCATGTCCTTATGATTACGTCATCTGAAAGGGGGTGGGTAGTGTCTAAAAACAAACTCTTTCAGTAAATATGAAGTGGGGAATCACTTTAACAAGCGATTGTAGTTTCAAATTGCTTTCTTATGCACTTTAATATCCTGATTCTAGAATCGCTGATTCTAGCGGGCTTCTACATATCTCAAACACACAAAATGTTTTTGCATATTTTGTTTTCTGAAGTTTGTGATGCATTTATTGCAGATTTTGCGTTTTTGGTGGGTACCAAGATAGAAAGTCAAACAAAATGGGGATCGTGAGGCTGGAACATAGCAAAACCAATTTGCTTGAGGTTGACAGATAATATGTAGAAGAATATAACACAAAGACAGCAGCATTTGTATCAATTTCTTGGTGAAGCTCATTACTTTTTGATAGCCCCTCTTACGGTGTCTATCAGGCACTGTCCACGAATTTGATCATGGTATTCATACAATTGATACAGATTCCTTTAAACACTTGGCACTGTACTTTTTGACGGATTCAAATACTTCTGCGTTTGAATTACTGTCAACGTTACTGTAAGTCGAAGATCTGATATACCAAGGTTGAACGTTTACACAATGACAGTTTGAGTATATTCTGCTTCGATTCATGCTTTTTCATACTGAATCTGTGACACTGCATGTCTTCACGTGGTACCTGTGCGCCTGTACATTCGTTTCCAGGCTGATTTGTACTTGGTGTTTACAGTTCCTGGGACCAATCCTCCAGACCAAGACTTGTCTGTACACCATGACTCCAGACAGGAATTTCGTGGTCGACACATGCGCATACAAGGGCTGGTCTGACGTCATCGTTTGTTGTGGAGCTGGACATGCGTACAAGTGAGCACGCCTTGGAATGCACTTTCTTAGGGGGAATGACAGTATTTAGGATTATATTCAGGCACATTCTGCACGTAAGACCTGTTCTGTATGATGTGTAACAAATGCCATGGACTGTCACAGAATGTGGGACCCATGTTAATGTGACCTTGGGTTGGAATGAGACAATTTAAATGCAACATGCATGATGAGCCATGGAATATGTAAATAATGTGATTTTATATGCAATTTATTATTAAATATTTTTTACTGCTTTCATTGTATCCAGGTTTCATGATATATATATTACTACAATAGCGGTTGGTTGGTTGTGTGAGTGCTTAATTATTGATCAACGCGCATTAACGGTAAATTATACACGGCTAAACAATAATTGAATCATATCCTGAACTGAAACAACACTGAAATAAATAGAATCAATAGGAAAGTGTTGTATTGTTTACTAATGTAATACAATGTAATTCAGCGGCATGGTAATTTGTATAAAAATGTACTTGCTCAACTGGGGTAAGAAATTAAGTTGCAGCCAGATGATTCTACCATGTTTGAAATATTGTAAATTTATGGCGACGAGAAGCAGATATATTTATATTCAAAGATACGATGTCTAAGATACTAATCGGCAAAATGGTATATTATGGAATTGTTAAAAAAAATTAAAGTTTTAAATCAAATTCCGTATTTTTAATAAAGAAAAACAGTGTAGAAGTCATAATTAAGATCAGACTAAGCGTCTGTAAAGGTCACTGTACTGTATAAACTACCCGGCAAAAGAAAGTTCCACTTCACCTGACCAAAAATAGAAACAAAGATGTATGTGAGATTGATGTCTCGTTGCGCTTGCGTAACCCTTGCCATATTCGTGGTGTTTCTTTGCTTACTGCATGCTTGCTCTGTCCAACTTCGGTATTCATGCCACATTCTTGCCCGTGCATTTGGACCAATGTCCGACAATTACGTTTTTGAAATTCTGAAAAAAGCTCGATTCGCACGAAGTTTTCGGACAGCTGTTTTGTAAACAGGACCATGATGCGTTTTGGCGAATGTTTTCTGTTTGTGTTCAAACCTGTTCCTGCGTTGTTGTTGTTTTATACAGTTACTTTATAAGTGATAATTTTTTTTTGCCCAGTAGTTTAAGATATTTTCTATTGAAAAAAAGACATACGAAAACGCTCAACTGAGAGGTGTAGTTTCTTTTACCCGTATGTTTATAACCGTGTCTTCCATGGGTTTTCACTCTTCAGATTTGCAAGTCTGCTTGGTAAGATCTTAAGCGAACTCGCCGTTGATGGACGTACCCAGTATGACATCAGTCAGTTCAACATCACCAGAGACGCCATCCAGGACCCCACCTTCAAACCAACGTTTTTCATGGGCAGTGGTGTAGAGGCGAAACTATAATCGGAAGGCCCACTGGGCTTACACGAAATAAATACTAGAATCCCAAGTCCATGTTTCTGGGTGCCATTCCTCAATATTGCTTTTCTTTTATATACATTTGGTTGGTGTTTTAGTCCATTTTTGATTCAATAATGTAAATGGTGGTACGTCCTCATGATGTGAATGCACCCCATTCCCATGCCAATGTGTACTGCCTAATTTACCTGCTGTACTTAAGACAATGTTAATAAACAATGTTAATTAAAAGATTTACATTCTGTAAGATCTTGACTTGTTATATGTAGAATCAAATGTAAAACAGGCTTCACCAAAAAGCCACGTATTCCTGTATTCATGTCTAATTTGGTGTCTTCGTACATTGGTACATACGTAGCTGGTTACTTCTCATTGTGTCTTTAACCCTTTTGGATCTATAACCCAGCAGTACTCCGTAAAGGATGTCGCAGCCCAAAGTATTGTGGAAATGAATTTTCATCTTGTTGAAACACGAATTATAACTGTGTATTATTATATCGTATAAGAGCACGAAAGGTCTTCCTGTGTCTACCATTCATCCTGTTGAAAGCTTTACTGGGGCTTTAAATATGATCACCTTGTTATGTCAGCTTTTGCTAACGAGTCGTATGTCGCTCTTCGAAATCCTGGAGGACTGAGCAGTATCAACACTTGTAAAATGTGAATACAAAACTGAAACTGCAGGCAACCTGCTCGACATAAAGGGAAGGTTGACTATTGGACAGTTGAAGTGATGATCTTGCCATGTAGTCTTACACTCTGAATCTATATGAGTAGATCACATTTGATGTTGATTTCACCAATCCAAGCAGAAATTCGGAACTGGTATGTATAAAACAGATCTTTAAGATTTGGTTTGTTGGTTCGTTGGTTGATTGGTTAACGCCACACATAGCAATATTCCAGCTATATGGGAGGGGTCTGTAAATCTGAAATCGAGTAATCAGACAATCCAGTGATCAGCAACATGAGCGATGACACGTTTCAACCAACTCGGAGAGCCTCACCACCCGATCCTGTGAGTCGCCCCAAACACAGCTCTTGCCAAAAGGTCCTATCCCAACATTTTAAACAGATATTGTCTGTTAGGAAGTCCGACATCTTGTTTTCTGAATGACCAGAAGAAGACATTTGCTTTCATTTTGATGAATAACCTGAATATTTGAAGTGTCTGTTGTGGCAACCACATTTAGTGACAAAAAACCCTACGGATCAAGTTTGTCATGTGGGATAATTTTTAACACAACAGTTATGACATATTTCCACAAGATATAATTTGGTTCAGAATTTACTGATGGGTTTCAGAAGTGAAAGCAATAATGCAAATCCTTTAGCATTTTTAAGAAGTCACATGATATTAATTCTATTTGTTTTAAATACTTTTATGGATGTAAACAATGTCCTTATAACGGATTATAAAGGATAATGGTCAACCTTTGAGGCTGAGATTCTCCGTGAATAAAGAATATCCAGAATAAAAGAAACGTGGAAATGTCTTCACGTTTAGGGCCAAGGTAACAATATGCCTCGACGAGGTATGGGCGGTAATATTAAAAAGTGCATATTTTGGGAGCCTTATCGTGTCCTATATTGTTGTATTGCAGTGTACCGACGTATCATGGAATTTATAGATACCGTTACTATCCAATGCCATTCTAAGAGATGCCAGTTTTTACATTGCCCAACAAACATAAAACTTTAGCCACCTCAAGTCTACTGCTAACACCAAATAATAATAGATTCCCGACAAATAACTATTGTTAAAACACAATATTATGAAATTAAACTGAATATCAGCTGGGATGTTATGAAACAATCATTTTATATCATGAAACATTGTTTGACAATACATTGCACTGCCATATAACACTCTCCCCCTTCAAAAAAGGGGGGCGGTGGGGTAGCCTAGTTGTTAAAGCGTTCGTTTGTCACTCCGAATTCCCGGGTTCAATTCCCCACATGGGTACCAAAAATGTGTGAAGCCCATTTCTGGTGTCCCCCCGCCTTGATATTGCTGTAACATTGCAAAAGCGGCGTAAAACCACTCACTCACTCGCTCTTCAGAAAAGGAATTTTCTTTGCTAATTCCAGAAAGGTATCTCAAACAATATGCAATCATGTATTTTTTCCATGGTTTGTCCTTTAAATAAGCATTCTTGAATTTGTGACTGACATGCATCCCTAATCATAAATTACTTTTAACTTGCCAGGAAAATTTATCAAGTCTGAAGTACATGCCAATGTTCTTGGAAAAGGACTCGGCATGGAGATTCTGATTTGTCACTGTGGATTCTTCCTTGGCAAGAAGTTCGGAGTGATCCATGTAAAACAGGTCAGCACAATGTGCTTGGATATGTACTGAGGAAGTCCAGGATGGTATCCTTCATCTTTGTTAAGCAAAGGAAGACAAAATCGTTTTAAAATATTTCTCTTCTAATATAATTAGGTTCCGAGATAAGTATTTGTCCCTGGGAATCATAAATCGACTCGACAAGCTCTTTATAAAGACAACAAACAGAAAGTCATGCAATATGTCTCTGGGCTAATCATATAGTTTATTTGCTGGTGTAACAAGTAATATGTTACTCAAATTAAGAATTAATGTTGAAGAGACTTGCAGGTACATGTCAGGTCAGGTAACAAGCGCCAGGTTATCTAATCTGTTTCCACACGCCACACAGCATGCATATATTTAACACATCAGCACAAGTAAAGATTTATTCCACCAATGCCACTGCAGTTCGAATGAGCTGCAGAAGTTCACGTTCTACTGTATTATACGTTATATGGCATGGATAGTCACACATCTTCAGTTATCGTAACTTGAGCATTTAACACCTGTTTGGTTGATAAAACAAATGCATGTAGACCGCAGTACGAATGAGCAGCTGTTAGGTCGATCCCGAGCAGCGTGCCTGCAGAGTTTCTTCCCCTGAGTTATCTCATAGACACTGATTACACAATGGCCGACTCAAAGCGGCAGTATTTTGAGTACATTGTCATTGGTTGTGGAGGCATTGGCAGCGCAGCTCTGTACTGGTTGTCAAAACGGTGCAGCTCAGGTGAGATGTTTTATTATTCATTCAAGTTTGCTCTGTTTAATGTGCAGGGACTTAGTTACTCCCTATACAGTGCAAAGTTGGCCCTGTCGTCTACAATTGTGCTGAGTTTCATCCCTTGGGCCTGCAATATGTCAACCAAGGTTATAGTTGGTCAGCATTTTACCCTTGCTCGTGAGCCGGGGTAGAATTGATCTTCAGCAACCCATGCTTGTCGTAAAAGGCGACTAAGGGGATCGGGTGGTCAGGCTCGCTGACTTGGTTGACACATTTCATCGGTTCCCAATTACGCAGATCGATGTTCATGCTGTTGATTACTGGATTGTCTGGTCCAGACTCGATTATTTACAGACCGCCGCCATATAGCTGGAATATTGCTGAGTGCGGCGTAAAACTAAACTCAGTCACTCACTCACTCACTCACTCACTCAGCACCTTACCCTTGCTCGTGTGTTTCATCACGTTCAAGACGTACATCAACTCGAGTTTCTCACGTACTATCTGATACACCATAATATAATTGAAATATTGGTCGAAGGGGTCAACCAATATTCTCACTCACAGTGCTGAAAAAACAATTTCCCCATTATATTAACATATCCCCACCAGGCCTGATCACATATACATTAAACGTCGTTTTCAAGAACGAAATGGACCACAGATTAATACTAGTCAAATTATAATGTCAAACCAAAACTATAAATACTCTCGATTGTCTCCCAAACAGTGGGGCAGGGATGGAAAGTGAAAAATAAAGTTTCACTCAAACAAGAAAAAAAGCCAGTTATTTACCATTTTAATATATTTAAGCATTGCAATTTATATTTCAGTCCTTGGTCTCGAGCAGTTTTCTCTCGGTCATGAACGAGGAGGCTCACAAGATGTATCAAGGATCATGTAAGTTAAGCATAAGGAATACGTATATATATTCCTGCAGAACAAGTTTTGTCTTACTTCTAAGCTTGTGATCAATAAAGACAAAAGATATTTTATTCTTCATGCTAAACGTATATACTGCTAGTCGGACAATATGTAAGACGGATGGTTACAAGAAACCATAACTTAAACTATGTACACTGCCAGAACAGATTGACAGTCTGCTAGACCAGTGGTACATGAAAACATGTAAGGATCTATTTACAGGGCTGGTTTGACAATACCCCAGACCAAGAAAAAATGTTATGACCTATGTCTACGGCTTGTTTGACAACATGCTGAACAGTGGTTACAAGATAGCATAACTTGAGCTGTGTACGCTTCTAGTTTCACACATACTGACTGACTGAGTTAGGTTTTACGCTGCTTTTAGCAATATTCCAGCAGCATCACGGCGGGGGACACCAGAAATGGGGTTCACACATTGTACCCATGTGGGGATTCGAACCCGGGTCTATGGCGTGACGAGCCAACGCTTTAACCACTAGGCTACCCCACCGCCCCAGTTTCACATATAAATATACGATGACAAAACTAAAGTATCCACTTAAACAGCAAGGTTTTAGTGAATATGTATGACCAGTGTGCGAAATAGTTTCCACATTATACTAGCCAGTCGGGCGAGCTATACTAGCCCACAAAATAATTCACTAGCCCAAATTAGAATATAGAAACTAAGCAAAAGATTACAAAAATAGATGAGAATAAGATATTGTCGGCATGACACGAGTTTCATCATTAAGCTGTTAATATGATGAACATTTTATCAGGCTATAATCTTACATGATTTAAAAGTCGGACAGAATGTTATATTTACAGCAATGATCCTATGAAAATTCACTGTCAGTCGGGCTAGTGACTGACGGAGATGTAAAGGCCTGACTGGATCTTTACTAGCCACGGGCTAGCCGGCCAGTGGCTATTTCGCACACTGTGTATGACGTGTACATGTTGTTGTTGTATTACAGCCGCCTGACGTACCATGAAGAACGTTACACCAAGCTCATCCCCGACACCTTCAAGGCGTAAGTGATTGCGTGTTGAGTGAGTGAGGTGTGTTCAACGTCGCTGTGAACACTATTGTCATTCATCTCATTGTGTTGAAGAAAAGACCAACGTGATGAAACTTTAAACTGTATAAACTGCCAGGCAATCAAAAATACACTTTAAAACTGGATGTGTCCTAATAGTTTCAAACGTTTTAATAATTAACTGAGCTGAAAACAGTCGCCGAAAGGCACACCTATAGGTGTATAGTTTCATTTCAAGAAATAAAAGTCTGTGATGACACAAAGCAAGTATTAAACAAATAAAACAGATACAGTAAATTCATTGAACACAATGTTCTTTTAGAATATGGGGCAGACACTCTTTCGGTGGAAACCTATCACACTATTTGATACAAAAATCCCCAATGTATGTATGAGCCGTATTTTTGGTTATTGAGCATTTGTTATAGAAAGAAAAATACCATATGTAACAATACAGAGGCACCAGTGAGCCATTGTCAAAGAAAATGTCAGGTGCAAATTACTGCAAATTTGTTAAAGTATTGTTTAGGATTAAAGAGGTGAAGGGCATTTGATGGCTACCCCTGACATGAAGTACATACATTTCTTTGTTAAGATGGGAACAGATAGAGCGCGAGTCCGGCCTACAGGTTGTATGGATGACCGGGGGCCTGAGGCTGGCCAGGAAGGGACAGGGTGACGCCATGATGGAGAAGTACGCTTTAGAACTGGACAGGAACAACATCAAGTAGGTTACAAAAGCAACGGAAACAAATCAATTTGGATTTTTGTCGGTTCTACAGTTCTTCTTGAAAGGAGCCATCATGAAATTTATGTCTGATTCTAGTTCGGTTTTGAGCAATCTAGCGGTACCTAAAGCACACCGTGTGTACAAACTGGAGATATGTACATGTCATATCTTCATCAGGTACGACAGGCTGTCAAACCAGCAGCTGATGGCCCGCTACCCTCAGTTCACAGTGGGTCCCGATATCGTGGCCTTGTACCAGAAACAATCGGGCCTCGTGGACGCGGCCATGGGGAACGCTGTCCACATTCAGCTGGCCAGGGGTAACGGGGCTACAATCCTGGAGAACTGTCCCGCTACCAGGCTGACTAGGGCCAACAACGGCAACGTCATTGTACGTACTTTACATCATCAGCATCAACGTCATTGTACATACTTTACATCCCGAGCATCAACGTCAGTGTATATACTTTACATGTACTTTAATAACAAATTTATTGTAGTACTATTCATTCCCAACGTCATTTGACGCACTTTACATGCTCAATATCAACGTCATTCTTGAAATGGAATTTCCATAATGAGCTAAAACGTCACTGAACATCGCAGCTGCAATACCATTGCATGCACTTTTCAATTTATCTTGAACAATACGACTTCATGTGAGCACTCGTATCTTAAACGCCTTTGCATCTGTTGATATATTACACTTAAACTTCGAACCAAACAAATTTCAGCGCAGGCATTCTGAAATATATCGGTGGATATAATTTGCCATTTCTTTGAGGAACCCCCAAAATACTTGATTCTTTGCTGAAGCTGATCAAGCATTCTATTGTCAGGTCCACACAACGAAGGGCGTGTTCGAGTGCCGGAAGGTGGTGGTGACGGCAGGGGGGTGGCTCAACTCGGTTCTAGGGACGATCGGCGTCCACGTCCCCGTCACCGTCACACAGGAGCAGGTGACGTACTACGCCACGCCGCACATGAAGGAGTTCACCAAGGAAAAGTGAGTACAAATAACTCTGACCATGACTTGCTGGATGGTCTCACTACTACCACAGTCAGCATCAGCTCTTTGAAAAGGAATCAAACTGATGCTGCGGACTTTCTGATGTAAGTAATGAATTGTTATGGGTTATTTAAACTTTTTGCAGTCACAAAAGCAATCAAAGGTAAGCTGCTAATTCATGTCTATGTTTCGCATTTCGAAGATAATATCAAATCGTCGGGAGTCAATGTGTAGTACATTTCGAGATTATCTAAACCCAGAGTGGAAGGTAGGTGTGGGACAAAAGGGCCTGAGATTGAAGTCAAGTCTTGTGGAACACAACAGTTCTTCAATGCTTCTTAAAGATGTTTCTAATGTTTCCAAATACGTTTCCTTCACTACGTTCATCATCCATGGCTCAGATGGCAGAATAAAAAGCTGTGTGTTATTTGGCCACCGCTATTTTAAATTCACTCCAAACTCACACATATTTTTACATTTTTTCATTCCACGATGCTGTACACCATACATGCATTACATACATTAACTCACTGCAGTACACCTGTAACACTGAAACGTCACGTTCGTTTTAATGAATGTCGATGGTGTTCCTTAATATTATCACTGATGAGTGCATGCCACCAACCAAGGTTATACACATACCATGTACATATGTTACTTTTAACCCTTAAAGAGGGACGCTGGAGTAGCCTAGTGGTTAAAGCGTTCGCTCGTCACGCCGAAGATCCAGGTTCGATTCCCCACATGGGTGAAGCCCATTTCTGGTGTCCCCCGCCGTGATATTGCTAGAATATTGGTAAAAGCGGCGTAAAACTCAACTCACTCACTATATCCTAAAGACCACATGCACAAAGGATAGCAGTGACATTTCTGTATATCCACAGTAGGTTTATTGAGACAAATGGAATTAAGGCCAGGTTGATTTTCAAGTAATTGTTTGAATTTTTGCGAATGTCAGAAAATGAACGAGTGCAGGACACACTCGCCTTTTCACAAACAGGTCTTTTTAGAACTGAGAGAGTTGTGATTTAGTCAGAATCATTCAAGGGACTTTTCTTTAAGCGTCCGCCCGGTGAGGGGAAGGGCGCGGCTTCGATGCCCGGCCGCGTCATACCAAAAGACGTTTAAATATGGTACTTGTTGGTCCCTGCCTGGCGCTCGGCATCAATGGGTACAACAAGGACTGGTCGGCTCGGAGTCAGTATAATGTGTCTGAGTGGGGTATTCATGCTTCACTGCGGCATGGTATCAGAATGAGCTTGCACCATAAAACCAGCTTAAGTCTGGGCCTAGTACAAACAACCACACATACACACACATAGTAAAGATTGACACAGTCAATTAAGTCGACATCGCTGACTACAAACTGAAACACATAAAACTGTTCTGTGGTAGGTTCCCCATTTGGATTTTTCACTGCCCCCGTTACAACATCTACGCCCTTCCCATCCACGGCAACACGGGATCGAAGATCGGGGTCGATGCTCAAGGCAACGTGGTAACCGCGGACACGAGGACCTTTGAGCCGGATCCTGTTCGAGAGCGGATCTGTGCAGAGCTCCTGCAGGAGATTTGTCCCAAGGTATATATGGGATTTCTGAAACAGCCAAAATAGTTTACATTCTTGGGTCCTTTTCACAAGGTGCTAGTAGTATCTACAACAGAACTGCAAAATCTGTAATGAACCAGGGTTAGGGTTTGCAGTCGGCATTGCGCATAAACGAATTCAAAAAGAGACAGACCTAAACGAGTACCACGTCATATTACCGCCGTCCGCAAATCCTTATTCTGGTTAGGTTCGTTCAGAGATTACAGTGACATTTACGACTGACGTGCAGACATTCGGGGTAAAACGTCACCATATGTGTCGTATACAGTAATTTTGTCTGACCTCCGAGGAAAGGTGCATTATTAATACATAAGAAATGAATATGAATAGTGTTTCTAATACAATTGCCGTTAAAGACATCTGCCTCAATAAGGACACAACGGTCGCCTCTCACGAGGAATTAATTGTGAATACCAAAGTTTATAGGTTTGCTAACCGATCGTTTAATACGCCACCGTACAAGCACCCCGTCGTTAAAACGACTGAATCAGTGAGGTGAAATAAACTACAAATAGTGTGAGAAAGATTCTGTATACGTATTTGGTGTTTGCAGTTTCTGGGACCAATCCTCCAGACCAAAACCTGCCTGTACACCATGCCCCCGGACAGAGACTTTGTGGTCGACACATGCGCATACAAGGGCTGGTCTGACGTCATCGTTTGTTGTGGAGCTGGACATGCGTACAAGTGAGCACACCTTGGAATGCATTTCCTTCGGGGGTAGTGACAGATTTTAGGATTATATTCAGGCACATTCTGTGCGTAAGACCTGTTCTGTATGATTTGTAACAAATGCCATGGACTTTGACTTTGACTTTGAATGTGACTTTAGATTGGAGACAATTTAACAAATATCACAGAAAACGGGACTCACCACTATGTTTCAAATGTTGCAAATTCGTGCTGACAGTAATCACAATGATAGATTTTCAAAGTTACGACGGGAAAGCAATATTTCCCATTAGCTATTGCGTGTTGAGATATTATGGGGTTTTAAAAGATTTAAAAGTTTTAAATTAATGTTTTAAGAAGTAGAACCACGTAGACATATTCATACAAAGCTGACTACATACAGTTCTTTGTTTGGATATATCATTGCTAACTTAAGATATTTTCATACCCGTGAAGATCCGGGTTAGAATTGGTGTTCAGCAACCCATTCTTGTCGTAGGAGGCGACTAACGGGATCGGGTTGTGATCAATTGCGTTGATCGATGCTCATGATGTCAATCACTGGATTGTCTGATTCAGACTTGATTATATACAGACCGCATTCATATAGCTGGAATATTGCTTAGTGCGGCGTTGAACAATACAAAAAGAAGAATAAGGTCAAACAAATAAGATATTTTCAGTTGAATACAACCGAGAGGTGTAATTCATTTTCCCTGTTTATTGAAAATATAACATATGCAAAAGCTCAACTGAGGGGCATGGTCTTTCACCCGTCTGGTTATAACCGTGTCTTCCATGGGTTTTCATTCTTCAGATTTGCAAGTCTGCTTGGTAAGATCCTAAGCGAACTCGCCGTTGACGGACGTACCCAGTATGACATCAGTCAGTTCAACATCACCAGAGACGCCATCCAGGACCCCACCTTCAAACCAACGTTTTTCTTGGGCAGTGATGTACCGGCAAAGCTATGAACAGGAAGCTGCTTTTTGCCGTTCATCTCCCACAAGAAACAGTGTCAGTGTCCATGTAATTTGGCCCTATTCCACAAAACTGCCATCCTTTCTATATACAGTTATTCACGTGGCGTTTAGATTTGTGATGATTCAGCAACGGAAATGTATTTGGCGCTTGTTCTTGATATGAATATATCACTTAGAATTCCCTTGTATTGCAGATATGGATTTTTCACCTGGTTGAAACATGACTTCCCAAATATAAGATAACTAAAAGTCATGGTGATGATCACCATTATTCCAATATTGTTCATTTATCTTTAAATGGAGGCTGGTTGTTAAACAAACATAGTCCAATGCAGTGTACATAGTGGTATTCTTGTGGACCTTCACAACAATTCGCTTCTTTCGCTTTGAACAGCCTTGGGTGCATTCGGTGAAGACTAGTTAACACTCAGCACGATATTAACATGGCACGCATACTGGTCGTACGGTAATGTTTGGCAGTCCCGATATCATCAGGGCACAATTTATCTTCAGTATCAGTATCCAATAGCTCAGTTTTATCATTGCTGTCGTAAGATTAGAATATATGAATACTCGTGGTCCAATCGGGCTGTTAATGCTCATTAACAGCTCAGGGCCTTTGGCTTCTTTACACGCAGCCCAGACAGCGAATGGCACTTTTCCCAGGAAGCGCAGCATAGTCGAACCCACCAAGAACAATTCGGTGGTGATTTGATACACCACTTCACTTGGTTGACACTCATGTATGTACTGTCCAGCAGTACTGAACCATCAGCAAAATCAACATTGGCATTTCCTTGGTTCGTATACGAGAAACTGTGGAATACCTCATTTTAATCATGAGTGTTGACATGCTCCATGAGTGGATCATCAAACAAATTAATGTATGCAAAAGTGCATCATAACGTTCTGCCACACTGATAAATACAAGTTACTGAGAGAGCGAGGGTTGTTGAAGAATCTATTGTCTGACTCTCCGTGCGAGAGTGTGAAGCCGAGGGACAGCATAAGGATTTGTGTATTGGACTCGATTGCGTAGGTACAACAATCAAGAATTGTATCCATTTGTCAAGTGTATTCTTCTAAAAGTATGCATTTATATGGGCATTCAGGAGTTCGTCTCGAACACGCATCCTAGCATGTAAGTACGTATACTTATACTCACGACCCATGAAGATCCGGGTTAGAATTGATCTTCAGTAACCTATGCTTGTCGTAAGAGGCGACTAACGGGATCGGGTGGTCAGGCTCGCCGGCTTGGTTGACACATGTCATCGTATCACAATTGCGTAGATCGATGCTCATGCTGTTGATCACTGTATTGTCTGGTCTCTACAGCTGGAATATTGCTGAATGTGGCGTTAAACAACAAACCAACCAAACCAACCAACTTATACTCTAGGACAAGTTTCAGGTTCAGAATATTGCATTTGTCAAGCCCCAGGGACATGTCAATATTCTTAGTAAAGTTCGCGACAAGGGAATCTAATTTTTAATGTGGATTCTCCATTCCAGTAACCTCGATATCCATTCGCGAGGTATAACTATGTTTGGTATTGAGCACAGTCAAGAAAATGGAAGACAACAATTTACCAGACACAAAATACACAGATTCATGCCAAATGTCTTGGCGTCAAGCATATATTTTACCGGGGTAGCATGTTCAGCAGAATTATGTGGTGCGTGTCCCTGTTCAAAGATCACAGGTCAAACATCAGTTGAAGTTTAGCAACGTTGGTCGTGGAGACTCCTTGGATGGGTGACCATGTTTGGCAGCTTGCTGAATCCTGAGAGTTTCTAGGACTTCGGTCCAGCCTAAGAACGTGTAACGCATGTGGTCTCACCGAAGGCAAGTGACATTGTTGATAATATGCCTCTGTTCACTCAGCAGTAAATGGGTACCCGGTGGGATATGATGGTCTGTTAATCTTCTAGCGCCTGACAATCAGCTTGGGTTGAAGTGCAGGCTGTAATAAAGTTAGCGCTTTGCGCATACACCTTGTGTGTGGAAGGTAGCGCAATATAACTACACATAATTATCAGTTTATTAGTTTATTATTATCAGTACAACGTGAAACTCACACACGTCAAAGAACTTGAAAAACAAATTCAGAATTTACAACAAACGCATGTCAAATTATATTTTGTGTTAATACATATCCTGAAAAACTCCAGGTATATAGGTTAGATACCTGTGACCGATGCCAGGGTGCCACACAGCATGCATATTCATGGATCAACACATCAGCAGAATTAAAGATAATTTATTCCACTGACGTCATTAAATATTACCAAGGACTTCACGTTCTACTGTATTATGGTTATATTGCATGGATAGTCACACACCTTCAGTTGTGGCAATTGGAGCAGTTAACACGTGTTTGGTAGATAAGACGAGTCATGTAGACTCACCGCAGTACAAACAGCAGTTGTTAGGTCGATCACGAGCACCGCGCCTGCAGGGTCTTCTCCACCTCTCTCCTAGACACAGATTGCACAATGGCTGCGACAAAGCGACAGTACTTTGAGTATATTGTCATTGGTTGTGGAGGAATCGGCAGCGGAGCACTGTACTGGTTGTCCAAACGGTCCAGCTCAGGTGAGATGTTTTATTATTCATTCTATTCTGCTCCCTTTAATGTGCAAGAACTCAGCAACTTGCGTACCTGTGTTTTCTAACAAGTATGTCTTAACATTTTTCAGTGGTATTATGTACATAGTCTCCTTTGCTGTATGTTAGGGGCATCATTAGCACTGTCGCCTACGAGTTGCGTCCCTTAGGCTTGACAGGAACCTGTGATCAGGGAGTCGACCAAGATTTTAGTTTGTCAGCACGATACCCGTGCTTGCGTGTTTCACCACTGTACAACACGTGCATCACCTCGGGTAGTCTGGCATACAGGCCCTGAAACAAATATACCCAATACTGGTCATCCAAGAGTAGTATATGTGGCAAGTCCAGATTACCACAGGTTCTGAAAAGTCTCAGGGCTAATTTCTGTCAAATATACCTCGGAGTTTTCTCTATACAATCTGTCACGCCACGATATAGCTGAAATACTGTAGCTGTAGCTGAAATACTACAGCTGCACCATACATGTGCTCCGTTCTTTTCACATACAATCCGACATATATTTACCTCTTGATGACGGGACTACTTTCTTACTTTCTATCAGTTTGCGTTATTCTCACTACGGTTTGCAGAGTAAAATCAGTAAAAAAGTATCTAATCCTCAGAATATTTGTCTCTCCTCAAATAATTTAAACTCTTAGAGTTTAAGAGTTAAAGAGTGCAAGACACTACTCACTGTAGTGAGGTAGTACAAATCTGTTCCATGAACATGGAAACCTTGCTGGTAACTAGAGATAAGGCAGTGAAACCTTCACCGCTGTTTGCATTAATATTTCTTGGGTGTTTCTTTTTCTGGAAAGATAGGGAAAATTTCGAAGGAAAAACGAAAGACAAAACAACATGAGTCAGCAGAAAAAGGTCACTTGCTCACTATCTTTATATATTAAGGTGGGGTGAAACGGTATACCGCGGTAATAGTAGAACAGCGGTATTTTGCCTTTAGTTCGGTATACCGTAATGCAATACAAAAATATCGGTATTTTCGGTTTTCGTATCATCATTTTATAAACCTTTTTAAACCGTTTCTAAAGTGTCAAGAAATCGAATCATTTTGTCAAAATCTATCTAGGTTTGGCTCTTGTTGTCAATTTTTCTGCGTTATGATCATATCTCATATACCGAAGCGAAACTGACCGAACCGAAGGCCTTGTACCGCAATACGTACCGTACCGTGGTAAGAGCGTACCGTTTCACCCCTATATTAAGGCAATGTATTTTATATTTCAGTCCTTGGTCTCGAGCAGTTTTCTCTCGGTCATGAACGAGGAGGCTCACAAGATGTATCAAGGATCATGTCAGTTTAGCGTTAACCAATAACTGAATTTACATAGATAATACTTTCATGCTCCTCAGTGTTATCATGTGTTACTGCTACACTGTTAGTCTGATAGTATGGTGGATCGTGGTATCAAGAACGAACACATAAAATGGCCCATGTGCACAAGAAAAACATTACGAATCATACACACTGTCAGTTTGATAATATGTCAGGCCGAAGACCGATGATTACAACACAGAGCATGAACCATGTACACTGCAAGTTTGACACTATGCTAGACTGATGGTGACAAGAAATTATAATCTGAAACATGTACATCGTTAGCTAACACATGTTTTATTTGGGATAACACGTTCTCAGTGGTTTTCGTTGATGGTTGGGTTCTAGAATCTGATTCTTTCCTGAGAAAGTGTAATCCCAAAATAACATGATACATTTTACCACTTTCTAAAAGACATTGTGTATTCATAGTTTTCGACTGTTTGGTTGGTTGAGTGAGTGAGTGAGTTAAGTTTTACGCCGCTTTTAGCAATATTCCAGCCAGATCACCAGGGGACACCAGAAATGGGCTTCACACATTGTACCCTTGTAGGGAATCGAACCCGGACCTTCGGCGTGATGAGTGAACGCTTTAACCACTAGGCTAGCCCACCGCCCCTCGACTGATTGGGATATCCACTTTACATATGCCAGAGGGATACACAGTGATCAAGGCTACCAGCTGCCAGGCTTCCATTTTTGAGGGAGTCACGGTGGCTAAGTGGCTTAGATTGCTGACTAATGTACGGGCAATTAGGTGCCTCCCTCTCAGAGTGTGGGTTCGAATCCCGGATGAAAGTAATATAGCCTGTACTGTACTGAGAAAGAGTAATCCTAAATATAACATATGTTACATTTGACCACTTTCTAAATGACATTGTGTATTCGTGTACACTGCTAATTTGATGATTTGCTAGACCGAGTTGTCGAGAAGCACTAACATGACAAACGTTCGCCGCCTTTGTGACAATATGCCAGACCAGTAGATAAAAGAAAAGATTACATGACAAACGTACGCTGCCTTTTTGAGAATATGCTAAACCAGTCAATATGGTTACAAGACAGAATACATGACAAACGTACACTGTTTGTTTGAGAATATGCTAGACCAGTCACTATGGTTACAAGAAAGATTACATGACAAACGTACACTTGTTTGAGAATATGCTAAACCAGTCAATATGGTTACAAGAAAGATTACATGACAAACGTACACTGTTTGTTTGAGAATATGCTAGACCAGTCACTATGGTTACAAGAAAGATTACATGACAAACGTACACTGTTTGTTTGAGAATATGCTAGACCAGTCACTATGGTTACAAGAAAGATTACATGACAAACGTACACTGCATTTTTGAGAATATGCTAAACCAGTCAATATGGTTACAAGACAGAATACATGACAAACGTACACTGTTTGTTTGAGAATATGCTAGACCAGTCACTATGGTTACAAGAAAGATTACATGACAAACGTACACAGCTTGTTTGAGAATATGCTAGACCAGTCACTATGGTTACAAGAAAGATTACATGACAAACGTACACTGTTTGTTTGAGAATATGCTAGACCAGTCACTATGGTTACAAGAAAGATTACATGACAAACGTACACTGCTTTTTGAGACTATGCTAAACCAGTCACTATGGTTACAAGACAGATTACATGACAAACGTACACTGTTTGTTTGACAGAATGATAGACCAGCCACTATGACAACAAGAAAGATTACATGACAAACGTACACTTATAGACCAGTGGTGTCAAACCTCAGTCATCGTGGAAGGAAGAAATCCTCGACTAATTCTCATTGTTGTCATTATTAAAGTAAACATTTTTGTGGATGAGTTCCATGAAGTTTCTTCCAGAGTGAAATTGAGGGGAGTGATTTAATCCTGACACACCGGCTGAAAGGTTTTGACTATGTTTTTGATTAGTGACATATTTTTTCTGACAATATACGCAGACGTATCTTTACTGTACCACGTCATATCATCGTCGACAGGTCATATAAATATACATCAACGAAACCGGAAGTGACATAGGTATCCACTTCACTTCCGGGTTTCAAGGAACATCTGTAATATATGTACAGTTCGCTGTTGTGTTACAGTCGCCTGACGCACCATGATGACCGCTACACCAAACTCGTCCCCGACACCTTCAAGGCGTAAGTGACAGTGCGTTGAGTGAGTGAGTGAGTGGGTGAGTGCAAACTTATGTCCCAGAAACACAATTATGACACCAGTATCAAACATCGCCTTGTTTGTTTTAAATAAGATGGTTTGTTTGTTGTTTAACGCCACACTCAGCAATATTCCAGCTATATGACGGCGGTCTGTAAATAATCGAGTCTGGACCAGGCAATCTAGTGATCAACATCATGAGCATCGATCTACGCAATTGGGATACGATGACATGTGTCAACCAAGTCAGCGAGCCTAACCACCCGATCCCGTTAGTCGCTTCTTTCAGAGTTATTGAAGGCTAATTCTTACCCGGATCTTCACGGGTGTTTTAATAAGCAACCATTCAACATGGGTTTATACTTTAGTTGCCCCTGTTTAGATCATTTTAATTTACCTTTTATGATCAAACTGATCGAAACTGAGTACCATACATATACTGAACGCAAAAAGTAAAGCAACTTGAATATTTTTTTGATATTTTGGGGGAAATGAAGTCACATAATTTCATAGACATATCTCCCCAAATAACAGCGATCTTTATTTCTTGGTGAGTATATTTATATTAACAAGAAACACTTTAGCAAGGTAGTTGTTATTACTTTTAGAGCGGTACATCAACAGTTGTGCACATGTGTAAGTTATAGTTAACAGAAAAGCAGGTCTTGCAGTGAACTTTCGGTGGCTACTTTTAGCATCATGTAATATATATTTATTTTGTTCGTGTATAGATGGGAACAGATAGAGCGCGAGTCCGGCCTGCAGGTTGTATGGATGACCGGGGGTCTGAGGCTGGCCAGGAAGGGACAGAGTGACGCACGTTTGGAGGCGTATGCTGTAGAAATGGACAGGAACAAAATCAGGTAGGTTGTACAGTGAAGCGGATGTCGTAACAAACTGGTTCTGATTGTAGGTGATTCTAGATTTCTTTTTAAAGGAAGCCAGCGAGCGAAACTCTTAAGCACACCGTATATACAAACTGATAGCTTTATATTCATGACATTTTCTCATCAGATATGACAGGCTGTCAAACCAGCAGCTGATGGCCCGCTACCCCCAGTTCACAGTGGGTCCAGATGTCGTGGCCTTGTACCAGGAACAGGCGGGCCTTGTGGACGCGGCCATGGGGAACGCTGTCCACATTCAGCTGGCCAGGGGTAACGGGGCTACAATCCTGGAGAACTGTCCCGCTACCAGGCTGACTAGGGCCAACAACGGCAACGTCATTGTACGTACTTTACATCACCAACCAAAACGTGATTGTACGTACTTTACATCACCAACATCAACGTCATTGTACGTACTTTACATCACCAGCATCAACGTCATTGCACGTACTTTACATCACCAGCATCAACGTCATTATACGTACTTTACATCAACGTCATTGTACGTGCTTTACACGTTCAACATCAGCGTCACTGTTCGGACATAAGCCATTGTGTAGTGCGGAAATACATATTTCACTGAACTTGAACAGGGCAATGGCATTGCATGTACTGATCTTGAAGGATATGAGAAATAATCTTCATATGCGATCCGTAACTGACCTCAAGGGACCACTTGTATCATTATCTCTTTGCGAATATTGGGGACGGCGAGGTAGCCCAGTGGTTAAAGCGTTCGCGTTCGATTCCCCACATGGCTACAATGAGTGAAGCCCATTTCTGATGTTCCCCCGACGTGATGTTGCTGGAATATTGCTAAAAGCGCCGTGAAACTAAATTCACTCACTCAGGGTTGCGTATATCATTGCAGGCACATTACACTACAGCCTCTAAAGAACACAATTTCAATCACCCATTCTGACAGATATAGGTGGATAACGTTAGCTATTTATTTGTTGAACAAGTAAATACATCAGCTTTTGTGTAAGACTGCTAAGTAAATACTTAATCGTAACGCAGGTTCACACAACGAAGGGCGTGTTCGAGTGCCGGAAGGTGGTGGTGACGGCAGGCGGTTGGCTCAACTCGGTTCTGGGGACGATCGGCGTCCACGTCCCCGTCACCGTCACACAGGAGCAGGTGACGTACTACGCCACGCCGCACATGAAGGAGTTCACCGAGAAAAAGTGAGCACATGATGTCTGAAGATAACAAAAAACCGTCTCTTCTATCAATGGTCAGACATTGTTTAATACCGGTAACACAGCCAGTTCAATTCCACTGATTTCTCCACCTCGACTTAACATGGATTAGAAACCAATGAAACCTCTATGCTTCATACGTAGAGGTGTGCAGAAGCATTCAAATAAACTACACGACTGTTGGTGAAGGGCGACTCCAGCTTCCCCTTTATGTCAAGCAGTATTCAGTGTTTCGTGGTCACATTTTATCATTTAAGCCACACCCAAACACGGTCTTCCTACACAAACTTCAGAGAGTTTACAACAATTTGTACATTCAAGAAATTCAAGGCCAATGTATAACCATCAAAAGGTGTTATGGTGGACATTTATATTTTTACGCTCAATAATGTGCAACGAAATACCCTGTTTTGACTTGTACCATATGGTTCCATAAACAGTTACTCAGCAGGGCCCGATCTGCGAAACGTTCATAGCACTACGTCATTCGAAATCCTATGGGGCGGTGGGGTAGTCTAGTGGTTAAAGCGTTGGCTCGTCACGCCGGAGACCCGGGTTCGAATCCCCACATGGGTACAATGAGTGAAGCCCATTTCTGGTGTCCCCCGCCGTGATATTGCAGGAATATTGCATAAAGCGGCGTAAAACCAAACTCAGTCAGTCAGTCGTAATCCTATAATACACTATATAGTAACGATAGTTTGTAACGCTTCGGACACTTTGTGGGTCGGGACAAACACACATACGTACATACGTACATATTGGCACCGTCAATGATGTTAACAATGTTTTCATGCTCATCATTACTATGTTAAAACTTGATTACAAATTGAAACCCTCAAAATCTTTCTTTTGATAGGTTCCCCATCTGGATTTTTCACTGCCCACAGTACGACTTCTACGCCCTCCCCATCCACGGCAACACGGGGACGAAGATCGGGATCGACGTTGGAGGTAACGTTGTCACCGCCGACACGAGGACCTTTGAACCGGAACCTGCTCGAGAGCGGGTCTGTACTGAGCTCCTGCAGGAGATTTGTCCCAAGGTAGGTGGAGGGCCTTCGGTGAAATGTACATTAATTATAAGCCATTAAGAACATGAAACAATGTTTATGAAGAATAGCCGTTAAAAAGAGATTGTGCCTGAATAAAGATAAAAGAATACACAACCAACTTTAAGGTTGAACTTGGAAAGGAATCAATTATGTAAAAACGGCATTCGTTATATTTTGTGTTGTTTCTTTTTTGTTGTTGTTGTTGTTGTTGTGTGTTTTGCTTTTTTGTTCTATAACGTAATACTTAGCGAAATGCCAGCTCTCTGTAAATATTTGAGTCTGGATTAGACAACCCAGTGATTAAGCATTGATATACGCACTTGGGACAGTCAAGTCAGCCAGTCTGACCACCTGATCTCAATAGTTGTCGCCTGCCACTCATATTGGTTGCTGGAGATCAATTCTGTTTTTTGAAATACAAGAAATAAGTTTGCTAGGCGATTGTTTAAAAATCCCTCGTTTCAGCACCCCGTCGTTTAAACTACCGAATCAATTAGGTGATCGTATTCCGAGATGTTTATCTAAAAGGGGTGTTTTCTCAGTCTATATGGCGTATGTTAGGCTATGTACACTTATCTCGTTCTGATATTCATACAGTTGATACAGATGCCATTGGAAATGTTATCTATTTCTTGCCTGAACTTTTCTCAGTCAGATTTACTGTTATTGTTCCTGTAACTTAAGAGAGAGTGAGTGAGTGAGGGACACCAGAAATGGGCTTCACACATTGTACCCATGTGGGGAATCGAACCCTGGTCTTCGGCGTGACGTGCAAACGCTTTAACCACCAGCCTACCCCATCGCCCCTGTAACTTAAGAGCTTGTATCCTAAAGTGAAAACTTTACACAATGACCGTTGAGTGTATCCAGTGTCATGCCTGTTTCACATTGATTCTGTGACACTTCGCGTCTTCAAGCGGTAACTCTACGCCTGAACATTAATTTACATCCTGATTTGTACTTCGTGTTTACAGTTTCTGGGACCAATTCTCCAGACCAAAACCTGCCTGTACACCATCCCCCCGGACAGAGACTTCCTGGTCGACACATGCGCATACAAGGGCTGGTCTGACGTCATCGTTTGTTGTGGAGCTGGACATGCGTACAAGTGAGCACTCCTTGGAATGCATTTCCTTCAGGGGTAGTGACAGTATTTAGGATTATATTCAGGCACATTCTGTACGTAATGCCTGTTCTGTATGATGTTTTGTTTTAAACATGTTTTATTGTCCAAAAGACAAAGGGATTTAAATACAGTTAAGCATAATATTGCATAATGAGAATGAAAAACGTGTAATGGAAGCTTGACATTGTGGAAATACCTATACATATACAGTATTGATGTACAGGATATATACATCATACAATGTGTTGGAATTTGAAACGTGTGCATCTCATACATGAGTGAAAAACGTGTAAATATTGTGGAAATACTACACAGTTTATTACTTATATATACATTGAACTATGATTAACAGGTTGGAGACAATAATGTAATGCTAGCAGCTGAATCAGACAAGAATATATGTTTATTCAGCAAATCATTCAGATTAGGATCACTGATTGTTTGTCCTCTGTGATGTGTAGGTAAAGTCACCAATGTGACCAATGTATTTGTTACCTTTGTGACAATACGACCAAGAGCCACCGACTATGTGAATGACGTCATGTTATATGTAACTCTCTACTGAAACTTGCGTTCATACTTCAGTGTAGGCACATGTCATTTCCTATGCAACACTATTTGCCGAGCGAGTGATGTCTGACTCCTTATATAAATTACATAAGCTATAGCGACATAATATTGGTTGAATCAGACTGAATTGAATCATGTCCTCAATTCAATTTTTCCATAAATGAAAACCTTGGACATGCAATCAATCGTTTCAGTAATCTTTTCGTTTATTTCAGTTTGAGATTTTAGACGAACTGTTATTGTCAATACATGCCCGTGTGGTGCGTGGGGGTTGGGTAGAGGCTCGGGCTCATATACATGATAATTACAGTGATACATATGTAATGGTGGTAAAATGTTCATATTTTAATGAATAAGTGTGTTGGATTATTCAGCATATCTTTTGTATTATCCACAAAAGTTTAATACAGTCGGACCATGTTTTCTCGAATGTCCATATATTTGGAACCCATTTTCCGACCGTCTTGCTATTTATCTACATATAGATTTGACAGCCGAACTCCAGATTTTACATATCTCTTTTTCGAACCTTTGAATCGGTCCCAAGATCCACACATGTATGTCTAAATTTCTAAAGGATAGAATGATTTTGTAATTACAAAATGGTTCAATGTCTGTAACATAAGATATTTTTTGAAAATCAAACAGATGATACTGACAGGTATTGTTAATTCTGTTCCTCAGTTTATAACTGGCTGTTCGTTTGTTTTTTTCAGATTTGCAAGTCTGCTTGGTAAGATCCTAAGCGAACTCGCCGTTGACGGCCGAACCCAGTATGACATCAGTCAGTTCAACATCACCAGAGACGCCATCCAGGACCCCACCTTCAAACCAACGTTTTCCTTATGGAGTGGTGTTGAGGCGAAACTGTAGACTGTGCTTGCTTTCCGTTCGTCATCCGACACACAGTTACTACAGCATTCTTCGATATATATTTACATAGAGTTTAGATTATACTTTCTGGAAAAGAATCATGATTCAGTGAAGGAAATATTGTCTTTTTGTTTCTTGCTTTTGATATGAATACGTCACATGATATTTGTAATCCCCTATGTTGGAAATGAAAATGGATTTCAGCATTGTTGAAACCGGAATTACACAACTGATTATAAAATCACCAAAGGCTAAGTAGTTCTCACCATTGTTATTGTAATAACTTTTACTTTATCTTCAAATTGAGGCTGTGTTTTCAAATAAACAGTTTTATGCCTTGTCCATCATGGTGTTCTCATGGACCTTTACAACACTTCCCCAGTTCCGGTTTGAGAGCGAGGCTTTGGTTGCATAAAGACGATACTGGATAGTAGATGGTCCACGTGACGCAAACGGGTCATGTGATAACAACTTGGCAATCACTGTTCTATCAGGGCGCTATGTACATTATGAATGCAACGCCTTTCATTTTTATCATTGAAAAAATACTTGTTGACATATAAAAAATAGGGGAACCTGAACTTTCAATTTGGATAGGAAGTATAAGCTCCCTGATCAGCACCCCTAACACAACGCATGGCATGCACGTACACAACGCAGTAGCCCCATACACCTGCATGGGGTGTCATTCTTGATTTTGACGGTTTTCAAGAGGGTCGATAAATCACTGTAGACCATTAATTTTGACAATCAACTTGCATCACACAGTGTTTAATGTTTCATTCTAGGCGTTTGGTTTTTTTTTCTTTTTTCTTTTTTTTTTTTTTTCTAAAGGAAAACCATACACATGCAAGTTTCACGTCTTGCACCAATCATCGATCAAGAGCCAATCATCGATCAAGAACCAATCATCGATGAAGAGCCAATCATCGATCAAGAGCCAATCATCGATCAAGAGCCAATCATCGATCAAGAGCGCTTACTGAACAAAAAACTATGGTCATAAGGAAGTGGTGATGCACTCTCAAAACGTTCATTATTATCATATCAACATTTTTTATTGACTCCGATATATATACCATTGATTGATTCCGATAAATCTCCCATTTTTTTCAATCGTAAATTAAAGATGAAGTCCCCAACCATTTTAAGAGTATAATTCAGCAAGTGACACTCATCCCCCTCTCTACCATTCAACGCTTCAAAGCTTAAGTGAGGAACTGAATATTGTAACCTTGATCAAACAGCCTCTGAGAAAGTGTCGAGACGCTCTTTGAAATCTTTGAAATGATACCAAACGGCACATATAATATTATATATAATTATAGTATAATCATTGTATCAGATCCCTTGGGATTTTACAACTCTTGCAGCCACTAGGCACACCGAGTTAATATGGTTTTCCCATCCTTACGATGGTATCCATTCACAGCTAGGTGGACTGGCACACATAGTAACAGTACTTTGTCTAAGTTTACTGCACGTTGCTGTACCCGCAACTAGGTGTTTGCAAATACATGTGACCGCCATCTGGTCATTTACCATCGGATTCGTGGTTTTTTTAAAGTGCACTGGGTTGTGTACTGTACACTAGGGGTTGTGACAACACTGAAAGAGTTGACTCCAAGGTTTTTACACCCGGTCACAGGTAGGCTCGATCCCGGCACCTCGAGCTCGCTTGTTCACTAACCCAGCGCCTTAGACAGCTCGTCCACCACGTCCCTATATCTGACATATTGTTTTCCCAGTTAAAGTAGATGACAATTCACGAACTGTCAAGACCCATTGAAGAAAGATATTTAACTGTATGCACTTCTGTGTGAAAATGAGTGAAAATGGTAACGTCATCGCTGCCATTTTGACTGTCAACGTATCCATCTGTGAGCTTCATCAGCGACATTGTTTTGGTAGATACTGGAGTCATAATTCACGTTCATGTACAATATGAGAGAACTGACTGCCTGCTTCATGTTGAACACGTATTTCTGTCTCGTGAATGAATTAGACAGGGGTTATTTTCAGTATAGATAATAATGCAAATAGGCATATAGGTGGACTCAGATGGAATCTGTTGGGTGTTTTGAATGGAACTATGAGAGTTAAGATTCAGGAGCAGCATACACATAGGTCACCTCCAGTTAATGCCTGAATCGCGTGTAGTTACAATGTGTGTTCCAAGATTGAATGTGGGTCATCGTGCCCCGGTTGGTTGATGCCCGTGCTATCTGCCACTGGTCCATAGTTCACAAGCTTTATCAGTTAAATCAATCTGTTAACTGTGCAAGTGGACTCATCTTTAGCTCTTACGACATTGTGCTACTAAAAGCTAAGACTCTGTAGAAAAACGATGCTACATGTGTTTTACAAGATAACAATTTCCAGTTAAATTTGATATGGATTTGACCCGCTGGGCTTTGTACGAACTATAGTTTCATTTGTATGTAAAGGCTTAACACTGCCCAGAAAACAGTACACTGGGCTCGCCAGTAGTAAATAATTGCCAGATATTGAATCCTTCTCTGTAACTAAATCATGTTACCTTTGTTTTGCATGTGTAAGACACATACCTATTAAAAGACTTACTGAGCTCAAAGGAGGAAAAACTGTTTTTGTGCCATTTGTCATTTCGGTACACATTTAATTATATATATTTTTAAGTGAGGATATAAGTGGTTTTACCATCACACCATTTTCTGTGAAGGAACAACAGCTGTGAACCTTTTTATGAATTGATGAAATTAGTGATGACACCAGGTGTTTCGCGAAATGGACAGACATGACATACGTATTGTCTATATCAACTCAGTCGGCGATTTCACGTTATCAGTTTCCTTCCGCATTCTACTGGAAGGGAGGCAACTCTTTCTGTCACACACCCTGGTAGTCAGGTGACAGGGACAGCTTGGTCGAGGTAGGTTGTTGCAGACACTCTCGGTGTGACAGTAATAATCACACAGGCGTACACAGCTGATACGTCATACCATGACACAGACACAGAATGACACACTCATTTACACTCCATGGCCACACACAGAACTAACAAAACCACACTCAATGTATGACTGTGTTTGTTTGTATTCGATCTCTCCTAGTCACCTCTGTCAGGACACAGAGATATTCGCATCGTAAAAGATAATTTGTGTATTAGTGGAATTAAATTAAAGATCAAACGGTTTATGTCGCAACTTTCTAAAATGTTATGCATATGATATTTTAAAATGACTCGTTTGATAAAATCTATACCTGTAATAAACAACACTTGTGCTATCGCCAACTGATAATGAAGTGACGTCGTCACGTGGTATCCACATGATTACGCTTGATTCAACTGCGCCATACATTTCATATGCATACACCACCTGAGAAAGCTTTGAAACAAGCCATTAATACAGCGACAAAGATATTTTCCTAGCTACATATATGAGCTTGAGAGAAGAGGGAAAACAGAAAAAGCAAAGCAAAATCGTCATCCTCAACAGCAGCATATCATCATCATCATCATCTTTGTTTTCAAGGCTAAATGACCCATTATTCATACAAAAAATACAGAAAGATATGCATAGGCGCATTAGAATTACCAGACGTTAATACAGCGACAAAGAGGTCGAGCGTCCAAGAGATTGCAACGGTATTTTCCTAGCGACATATATGAGCTTGAAAGAAGTGGGAACACAGAAAAAAACAAAATAATAATCATCATCATCATCATCTTCATTGTTTTCAAGGCTAAATGACCCATTATTCATACAAGTATACATGTAAAGCTTAATTCATCTAATGTAAAGCTTAATTCATCACATCAATAATTTTACCGAGTGACATCCGCATGTTGATCCGACGTGTCTGATCACGTCCTGCCTCAGCACAGGTGAGGTAATGTCTAACAAGCGATCTATTGTAGTATGCCTTGAATGTCCGAATTATTCCTGCATCCATCGGTTGAATATGAGACGTGGTATTTGGTCACATTTCGCAAAGTTAGCGAAGCACACTTTCGACTTGCAGCATTGTCGTAAAGCAAAATCACTTTTAGTCCACGTGACCGGATCTGTCTGTCAAAGTACATTAACCAATCACAAAACAGCTCACTTGTCATCCACGCCTTTGTATTGTGGTGTCAATCAAAGTGTAAATGTACAGTATCTTCAGTCGGGAGCTTTTTTATGTCTAATTAAAACAACAACCCAGTTGGCCAGTTATTTAAGTAAACATCGCCGGGCGGTGTTGTTACGGTTCGTCAACACGACTTACAGCGTCCGGACTGTGAAGCAATTTACTGTTTATTTTACTGATTGGTGACAGCTACTTACCGTCCGGTTCCGGAAACCGAATTTCCGGATTATCGAGGCAAATTATATAGGCATAGATTGGTAACAAGCTGAAATCGCCCGGGAGACGAGACATCCGGATTATCGGAGTCCGGACTAACGGGGCTTCACTGTACATGTTATTCTTATACACCTGTTAAAGTCTTGGGAAAATTCGTGTTTGGACATCTACATTCCGTACATATGAATAGGTTCGTTGGCACTTTAAGATTTCTGAGAGTATTTGGCAGTGTCTTGACATACCATGACAGATAACGTACAGTCAAATACCGTTGATATGTCGAAATTACGATTGTCTCGAAGTGAAAGCTTGGCAACTTCGTATTACATCTTTATCATTTTCAGCTTGAGTCGAAACTAGGATAACTAGTGGTATTTACCTTGGTCCCTCTTACTTCGACACAACGGTGTTCAACTGTAGTGTGTACTTATCTCGGTCCCTCTGACTTCGATACAACAGTGTTCAACTGTATATCATCGGGTACTTACCTACACATTGCATCTGCTTGGTTATATCCTTCCAGATGGCGACCTCCCAGAAGCTGACCGAACACTTCCTGACGTGTACAATATGTACAGAGGTTTTTGTCAATCCCTGTACACTTGTGTGTTATCACACTTTCTGTCGGAAATGTGTCATCAACTACACCAAAACTAGACCTGAAGCCGACAATGCCAAGTCTCTCATCTGCCCTTTCTGCAGCAAGATGACGAAAGTGTCTGACCCTGAGAAACCAGTGGAGGAATGGGCAGATGACGTCAAGCCAAGCTTTGTCATGCAGGGACTTTTGGACTCGTTTGGTCCGGAATCCAAGGGTATACATACATATAGTTGCTTTGCATTCGTAACTACTCGCCTCTTTCCGTGACCTACAAGAAGACTCGTACCCCTATCGTACGCCATTACTGCCAAGAATCGTGGCAAACCAATCAAATCGCACGTAGTAAAACGCATTTCGAAGCATAAAAATGGCGGCATCGTTGAACCTTGAAACTTCGGTAACTATGCAGAGCACAATTTAAAATAAACTTTGAGCTAAAGGATCAGCAACTTTCAACACTGAAACATACTTACAAAGGAAATGACTGTATAGTTGTTTTGTCCACGGAATATAGCTATAGGGTATTCTTGGAGTAGCCATGTTTGGAACTTCATAGTTATCTTTCCTTGGTACTAGTACTAGACTATTTTCATCTCGGTGCCCGTTTGTGCTTAGACAGAGCCTAGTCGTAAACATGGCCACGAGAGGGAATGACACGAGTAGTTACGAATGGTTGCTTTGGACAAAATTCACACTCACGTTTGCTGCAATTCTGATCGAAGATGTAGCTGTGCTTGCCTTTGTATCTGTGCTTGTTAGAAATTAGTGTATAAACTGAGTGAGTGATTTGGAGTGCATTACGTGATCAAACAGTCTGAAGTTATTACATTTAGTTGATGTAAGTGATATGTAACAATTACTATCAGGTTGTGTTTGGATGTTGTGAAAGTTGTCGAATAAATTCGTGTATCATTTGTGTTAAAATACTTCCTAATTCTACCAATGCTTTCCAGATACAACCTTCTGTGCATTCTGTAAAGAGGGACGGGAGACAACGCCAGCTGTTGTTTGGTGTTCTTTCTGCGATGACGCACTATGTGGGAAATGTGTCAGAGTGCACAGTCGCATCCCAGCTACACGTCACCATGACGTCACTGACCTTTACGGGGAGGCCAAGGTCAAAAGAAAGCGAAAGGTCATGTGCAAGGAACACAAGCAGGAATGCGTGGAGTTTCTGTGTGAGGATTGCGAGAAGATGGTTTGTCACAAATGTTGCATCATGTATCACAGGAAGTGTGATTCCGTTGTCACAATCGAGTCACAGATCGAGAACATGAAAACAGAACTCAAGAAGAAGAGAAAGACTTTATCAAAGAAGCAAGTAGACACGAAATTAAAAATTGATGAACTGAAGTCAACTGTACCTAAAGAAACGTCTCGATACGCTCAAATGGAAGAAGACATAATGTCTGTAACACAGGAAGCCATACAACAGATCATGTTTAAGAGAAAGCAACTTCTGGATAATCTCAAAGGGATGTCAGACATCCACATCGGACAACTGAAAGCAAGTGTAAAATCAAGAGGGTTTTCATTACAGATGTACCAACAGCAGACTGAGCTGATAGACCAGGCTCTACAATCTGAATGTGACATGGATGTGTATGAGATGTATCAGGGCTGTGAGGAAGGTGGTGTGGAGGCTGTTGGGGACGCAGAGGATGGAAGAATGGTCAGGGTCACATTCAGACATGACATTGAGAAGCTGAGTAAAGCGCTGGGGGATCTACAGCTGGGTGCGATAGACGTCCTGCGTGATGGCGATGTGGACCTAACGGCTGATCCAGTGCTACAAGACACCATTACAGTCAGATTAGCAGGAGAACCACGTGCAGCACGGATAGCTGACTTGACCGTGATGATGGTGGATGGTACAGATACAGTTGTAGTCACAGATCCTGTGAACGAAAGTGTAAAGTCATTTTACACCAGGAACAATCAACCATGTCACAGTAGGCTAAGTCTAACAAACTTTCCGTATGGTCTGACTCAGCTGCCACACAACCAGGTGGCTGTAACAGTTCCACGTAAAAACAAGATTGTAAAACTAGGAGTCAACCCGGACCTGGAACTGCTGTCAACCATCACAACCGCTAAACAGTACTGGGATACAACATATGTGAACCCGTCAACACTCGCAGCAAGCTCCTTGGTTCCTCCCTGTGTAGATATCCTTGGTATGAAAGGAAGCGTGCTGAAGTCATTCAATCCTCATGACAATGGTAACATCTTTCGGTATCCCGCCAACCTTTGCACCACAAATACAGGACACATCCTGGTGTCTGACAGGGCATCCAAGGGTGTCGCGTGTCTGACCCCCAAGGGCGAGACGGTGTTCCACTACAGACCTACTGGAGACACAGCATTGAAGGAGCCACGTGGTATCACAAGTACCAGCAGGGGTGACATCCTGGTGACAGACTCCTCCTTAAACAGAGTCATTCATCTGACTAAGTCGGGAGAGTTTGTAAGAAACATACTGACAGATGAGGACGGTATTCAAGATCCAGTAGGAGTTGATATAGATGGACGTGGTCGGGTGTATGTTGGCCTGTATAATCTTGGAATTGTAAAGATGTACATGTGTTGACAATGGCCATAGTCGCAGTAATTGTACACATGGAATAGCGTGGAAGGACGTGGTATAGATGTATGTCTGGACACGGACAATATTTGAAAGCTCAAATATACACATTTAAAACAATAATCCATAAACCCATCAATCCTCTCAATGCTACTACAGGAGAGCAGCATAATGACATCCCCAAATAAGACTTGCAATAATTATTCAACAAGTCGGATTTACGTGTCATTTGAATTATGTATGGAATGCATTTATTCACAGCTTTCTAAATATATAATCTTCAATTAGTTTATATACCTTTAAACGAAACGCCCGCGAATCAAAATGTGTTCGCCAAATTTCTCGGCACACAGCCACAAATAACGGCCATTGTTGACTTAAGGTACATCACGTCGAGTGGTACCCAGTCTAACATTTTCTTCATAATGAAATTATTTTAAATAATTTGATCAATATTTTTTGTTCTTGGGTGAAGAGAAAACACTGAAGTTTCCCATTTTTGAAGCTTTATATTTACGACGTACTTCTGTTGATGGACTGAAGTCCCCATAATTTCAGTAGTATATATCTACGAGATAAACCAGCCGGGGCACATGTCAAATGCTCAGTCAAAATGACAAACTTATACAATCGAAATGTTTCTCTGTGGGGGTAAAAATTCTGTCCCACTCTGTGGGTCCAAAAAGTTTTGTTTTCATTACTTGTAAGTAGTGGAGCCTCTGCACATCCACGCAGTAGTCGTAATTCTAAAATAACAACTGAATTATTTGATCTATCGATCAATTGATTGGTTTGTGTATATATTTCGTATTTTGCCCTATGGAATGGAATGGGTTGTATATATATGACTGAACGGATTGAAGACAGAATTGTTCACATACAATTAGTTGATATATCTACAATATATTTTGACATGAATACACGTAGGTCACCTCTATCAAATGTTTCAACCGTGTGTAGCTACAATGTGTGTTCCTTGACTGAATGTGGGTCATCGTGCCCCGGTTAGTTGGTGCTCGTGCTATCTGCCACTTGTTCCATAGTTCACAAGCTTTATCAGTTAAATCAATTTGTTAACTGTGCAAGTGGACTCATCTTCAGTTCTTGAAATGAAAGCTAATACTGTATACCCTTGTGCTTTACAAGATAATGATTTCCAATTAAATCTGATATGGACTTGCGCCTCTGGGCTTTGTACGAAGTATAGTTTCATGTGTATGTAAAGGCTTAACACAGCCCAGACAACATGACACTGGCTGGGCTCGCCATTAATAATTGATTGCCAGATATTAAATCAACGCGTCACAATTTAATTCTGGACTCACAAAAGTCCAGAAACTCTCCGCACTGTGGGCACTTTCTGACAAGTGATTTGACCAAATGAAACATGCAGTTCTTATGAATATATGCAAAGGATGAAAAAATGAAAAAAAATGTTATCGAAAACTTGAAATTTAAACTCTCCGACGTCCGCGCCCACCTCTCAACCTCGCTCAGCCTGCCTTGCCCCCCTCAATGCTCCCATACCACCCCTTCACCCCACCCACCCTAGAAGGACTTACATGGTCCCTTCATACGTTGGCGATTGTGCACAAATTTAGCCATCTCTTAAAAACACAAGTATCCTACTATTATAAACCTGGTATATCTAAATTTACTTCAGATGTTTTGAGACTTACGTACCCTCTCAAGAAGACAAAACTGTGAAACCCGTGAAGGTCCGGGTTAGAATTGGCCTTCAGTAACCAATGCTTATTGTAAGAGGCAACTAACGGGATCGGGTGGTCAGGCTCGCTGGCTTGGTTGACACATGTCATCGGTTCCCTATTGCGCTGATCGATGCTCATGCTGTTGATCACTGGATTGTCTGGTCCAGGCTCGATTATTTACAGACCGCTGCCATATATTTGGAATATTGCTGAGTGTGGCGTAAAACTAAACTCACTCATCCAACTGCTCAGATCGATGCTCATGCTGTTGATCACTGGATCGTCTGGTCCAGACTCGATTATTTACAGACCGCCTTAATATAGCTGGAATATTGTTGAGTGCAGCCTAAAACTAAACTCACTCGCTCACTCACTCCAAACTGTGAAAATTAGGAACACCTCTCGCTACCAACAATGTCAACAAGAACATAATGGAGTCCCTGCATCAATACATCCATAAATTATTCCAATATCTGTACACAAATAATGAAATGTAACTGCAAGTTCAAGGTTCCTAAGCACGTACAATGCACATTTACCCTACCTCATGTAATAATGTCTATCTCTGATTGATTCACGTGACCTACAACAAATGGTGGACGGAAAAAAGTCATGGAAAAAAAGTCATAGAAAAAATAACTATTATAAAACATCATGTTCTCCAGTTATTTACTTTGTTTATACTATTTCACTTTCAAGTTAATTATTCCTTTAGTGTGACGCTGTAAGCAATTGGATCTTATCAAAACAGGAGAAATGAACAGATTATTATTTGTTTAGTTCTTAACGGATTGTGGGATTAAAAGTCACAAGTCACATGATTGTTTTTATACCTAGCTTTGAGCTTGACGATATCATACCAATTAATGAACTCATGGGATTATCAGTTAATACTTTTTACTCAAATGGCTTCCTTCTAGCAGCTAATATAAGACACGCTGGCCCTAAGACTGTGATCCAAACTCTTCACGGTGTTGGATGGAACATTCGGTTAAATAAAATGTGCTAGGACAACTGACTGATGTAGTGCTGTTGCAGATGAAAGTGGTATGATGATGTATTTTACTTGAATGATTACATTAATTTTATAAGTTAGGTTCAAATGTGGTAGTGCTGTTGATAATAATATTGTTATGACTTGTTACAATCCTGACCTTTTTTGAGTTTATGACTTTTTTCCTATGACTTTATATCCCTACCAAATCTATGACTTTTTTCCATGACTTTTTTCTACAACCGAACAAATTACAATGTATGCCGGGTGCACGGTTGTGCACTGCTTGGGTGGTGTTGTACAAATCATCAGGCAGAATAAATCATTTATATCCCGCCCCATGGAAAAAACCGGTATCTTCCCATAAGATGGACCGGTTTATGCCCGGACTGTCGACAACAAGAAATAATCCGTCCAAAATACTTGTCGACAGTCCGGGAAAAGGGAGGTGATGTTCTACATGAGTGAGTGACTTCACTCCCAGTGTTCTCGAATTAACAAACTAATTAAAACAGAGTGTGATATATAAAGTAGACAATATATTTATTCAGTCAATATAACAACATGCATGTATCATATGTCACATAATATAGCATATTTGTTCATATATTTCATAAAGCTAACACAATATATTTGTGTGTGTGTTTTATATAAATAAGTACTTTCTGCAGGTGTATAAGTAATAAATATATAAAAGATGAGTCCAGTTATTTCTTCTTGCCAAAATTACTTTATATGTGCACTAAAGTAATCTGAATGTTCGGCCAAGATGAAGCGACTCTGACACATGGTCTGTGTAATTCAAGTCGGTAAGTCTGTCGGCAAGAAGGTCGGCCTTCAAGGATTGAATCCTAGCGTCGATGATTCGGTAGCGACGTCTGGGGGATAGGCGTAGCGTTGTCAGTCTTTGCACGATGATGGAGCTTTGACTTGAACGCATCAACTTCAGTAAGAAACGGAATAGCAGGATGGTTGTGACCTTGACCGACTATATTCAGCAGGTTGTTTTCTGTAACCAGATATGATGGACAGGTTGCCTCTGTACATCTCCAGTATGTTTTCTGACCTCTGCTTCTGTTGACTTTGTACTTGAATCCATTGTGGTAAAGATTCTGACCTCTATGAATGTTGTCAATCAATGTAACCCGCACCATAGCATTTGCCATTTTGACAGTGGTGACAAAATATTCATGATCTATTATATATACCCACATGCGAAATGTTTACAAAAGCATTTCGATAATCCTTCTACTCCCAATATCACAAAATAATTTGTAAGCTCTCCGTTTCTCATGTTGTTGCATGTTAAACTCCAAAATGGTAATCCTTCCACTCGCATAACGTAAAATAATAATCTGTTTTTGCAACCTTAATTCTCTTGCAAATTGTTAAAACGACATTCTCTTTAATCTACTTAATTCATTTACTCATGATACGAGCATAGCTGTAGCCGCCATGGCCACTTGCAACCACTAAGCAAACATTCTCTTTCATTAATTAACACCGTCACGGTATGTTGACCACGCGATGTCGACATTCCGGGTTTTTTGTTTTGTCGACAGTTAGGGACATCCTATTTTTTATTTGTCGACAGATCGGGCTGACACCAGATAGACCTCCCAAAAGACAGACCGCTTAAAACAGCACATTTTATGGTTGGTTGCATAAGGCTTAATGAAGCTGTACCCTTGATAATATGCATCCACAGCAGTCAGTGAACCGTGAAGCACTGGTTCAAATCGACTAGTCAGTACCATGTTAGTGAAATATATGACTGAATTTCATGCTATATTTACATGAAGAGAGATTTAAGATATTTTTGCCTAAGGTTATGTATTTATATGGTTTTATAAAAATCTTTCTATGATGTATATTTTGACCCTCTAGATTAACAGTGTCCCATAAGCCTGTTAAGGCTGGATGTATGTAAAACATTACGTGTTTATTTTATATGAATTTTATATCTTGTTTACATACATGGGACACTTTAAAAAACTATGTCTATCTGTCTGTCTGTCTTTAAACATTCGATAAAATAATTTCTGTTTACTATTGTGATGCGGCGTATACGGGAATTTTTGCGTCCCGTTTTATCCACCTAGCCGAAGGCGTCAGTGACAGTTTGCTACTACTTATGATAGGAATTAATTTGACGTTTTTGTGTATCCAGTTCTTGTGTATTCTGTTATATTATATATGTACCGGTGAGGTATTACCGGTTACCAAACCAGATTCTCTGAGAATATAAATATGTTTAAAGCATATGTTCAAGATTGTACTCCCCTAAAACCTCGGGCGAAGAATAGCCGTGACGGGCAGACGGGAATTACAAAATAATTGATCACAAAATATTAAAACGAAACGTGCGAACCTGGGTAGGTACACCTCGCAAGTGTGGGGGGTTGCCCACGATAGAATTTATTCAACAATGAATACTATGACGACATACCGAGTGTCACGTAGAATAAAAACACAGTTTTGATGCTTTTTTTTCCTTTGTGAGAAGGTTTGACAATGCCCTTAGCTCCTGAGTGGTGACGTGTGACGTCCTGGGCAGGAAGTGACAGTGTATTGATTTCTTTCCTTAATTACCCAGTTGGGGCTCCCTAATTAACCTTTATTTGTTCTGAAGCAGCATAGACTATTTATTTTATTTGGAAGTGGTTATTGGCAAATGTCAATAGGATTGACAAGACATATTTCAATACAGTTAAAGTTCTCACAATACTGTTTATGTTACAAGAATTACAAATTAAAAGTAATAGTTCATATTCAACAATTTCTTAATTTTGACTGTTCCGACGTGTATGTTTTGATATTATCTGTTCGTACACGCATACCATTGACGAGCCACATTTCCAACTGGCTAGAACTCTGGATCATTTGCAGATTGTTGCGAAGCGGCATTTTTGACATTTTCAGTCATCATTCGATCCTGAACTGGGTCACAAGAGTTATGCCCTTGGTGGTAAAAAACGATGCTTTTTCAGTGCTTCTGTATTCTCAAATCATCTACTATACAATATCACGTCATACTGTAGTTAGATAACTTGTTCCATGGCATGGCTCCCTAATTAACCTTTATTTGTTCTGAAGCAGCATAGACTATTTATTTTATTTGGAAGTGGTTATTGGCAAATGTCAATAGGATTGACAAGACATATTTCAATACAGTTAAAGTTCTCACAATACTGTTTATGTTACAAGAATTACAAATTAAAAGTAATATTTCATATTCAACAATTTCTTAATTTTGACTGTTCCGACGTGTATGTTTTGATATTATCTGTTCGTACACGCATACCATTGACGAGCCACATTTCCAACTGCACTGAGTTATTTCGCATGTTGTACGTTAACAAATTAATAAATAAGCTACTGTAATGGGGCTTATCTTGCTGTGATTTCTGTTCTGTTTTATGAATCAATGTATCATTGAAGCAGTATGTCAGATACAGTTTCCAACACAAGGTAGTACCTTTGTGTTGTACTGTGAAGCCATATCACATAAAAATGATAGAACTCTGGATCATTTGCAGATTGTTGCGAAGCGGCATTTTTGACATTTTCAGTCATCATTCGATCCTGAACTGGGTCACAAGAGTTATGCCCTTGGTGGTAAAAAACGATGCTTTTTCAGTGCTTCTGTATTCTCAAATCATCTACTATACAATATCACGTCATACTGTAGTTAGATAACTTGTTCCATGGCATTACTTCTAATGTTTTAAGTGCCTAGTGACTACATATGATGATGATTATGAGTTTAACGTCAGCTTCTGGCTGTAGCCAATAACGCCGACAGGGTAGGTGGGAGCTAAAGTAATAATTAATATGTTTATAATAAGGGATAAACCGCCATACCCCAAAAATGCAAATGATGGGGTGTTAACCTAAGTGAATTTTGAATGAAAACGGCTACAAACATGATAATAAATATATGGCGGCGTCTGTAAATAATCCAGTGACCAACAGCATGAGCATCGATCTGCGCAATTGGGAACCGAGCCAGCGAGCCTGACCACCCAATCCCGTTAGTCGCCTCTTACGACAAGCATGGGTTACTGAAGGCTCATTTTAACTCGGACCTTCACGGGTAGACAAGCATGGGTTACTGAAGGCTCATTCTAACCCGGACCTTCACGGGTAGACAAGCATGGGTTACTGAATGCTCATTCTAACTCGGACCTTCACGGGTTTAATTTGGAAGAAGAAACGTCAGACACCAAAAATGAAAAAATGTGAAGCAGATGATAAATGAGTGTAGATAATTGTAGGTATGACTAAGATGATAGCAAGGAGTATAAATTGATCATGGTTTGGAATTATGAAGAAAGACAATAGGTGGGGTCGGGGTATGGGGAAGGAAGGACGGGGGAGAGAAGTGAGAAGGTTATCTTAGCCATTATGTGTGTAGAAGGAGTAGGAGTATAGCTTATGAATTTGGTATTACAGTTAAGCTGCAGCTGATAAAAATACAGGGTCCTAATAACCAAATTAAATTGGGTTACACTTTAACTGTAAGCATAAACGTTGACCTATGGGGCTTAAAGAGTCGAGGTAGGACGGCTGGCGAGTTTGAGCACAGACAATCACTTTGGACTTATGGGTGGTCTCTGTTTTGTCATCACGTGGACTACTTTATATGCTGATAACGTACACTGAAGTATACAGGCTTGACACTCTCAAACGTCATGATACTTGACAGCCCTGGCAATCACACGACACAAGCCAGCAGTGCATGATACAGAATGATACGGGCATGTTGGAGTAGTTACAGATATAATATACAGTTAGAGATAAAATTATGTAATGTCTGCTTTGAATGTATCTGGACGTCTGTGGTGAGTCTATCGGCAGTGTCTGGTTCGTGCAACTTGATTACTTGCCTGTAAGATAGATAAAAGTACTCGCACTTTGTTCCTGTAACAATACGTTAAAATCTTGATAGTGTTCTGACACTCGTCCTCTATCTATTTTTTAATATCGTTCTAAGTTAGTTGAATTAAGTCAAAATGAGTTGAAATTTGTGTCATGATGCTTATAAACATACACTCATTCATTTACAACCTCCAAAACATAAATATTGAGTAAAGTAAATATTCTCGCCCATGGGCCAAAATGTTTTTCGCCCATGGACGAGATTTTTAAATATCGCCCTAAGTTAGTCGATTTAAGTCAAAATGAGTTGAAATTTGTGTCATGATGCTTATAAACATATACTCATTCATTTACAACCTCCAAAACATAAATATTGAGTAAAAGTAAATATTCTCGCCCATGGGCCAAAATGTTTTTCGCCCATGGGCGAGATTTTTAAATATCCCTCTAAGTTAGTCGATTTAAGTCAAAATGAGTTGAAATTTGTGTCATGATGTTTATAAACATACACTCATTCATTTACAACCTCCAAAACATGAATTCTGATCGAAATTAAACATTCTCGCCCATGGGCCACTGTTCGCCCGTGAAGGTCCGAGCGAGTCTAAATTTCAAGTTTTCGAAAAACATTTTTTCATTTTTTCATCCTTGGCATATATTCATAAGAACTGCATGTTTCATTTGGTCAAATCTCTTGTCAGGAAGTGCCCACAGTGCGGAGAGTTTCTGGACTTTTGTGAGTCCAGAATTAAATTGTGACGTGTTAATCCTTCTCTGTCACAAAAGCATGTTACCTTTGTTTTGTATGTGTCAGATAGATACCTATTAAAGGACTTACTGAGCTCAAAGGTGGAAATAGAACGTTTTCTGCCATTTGTCATTTCGGTATACATTTCATTATATATCTTTCAAATGAGGATATATGTGGTTTACCATCCTCAAAAATACTCGTTTTTGTGTGAATGTAAAATATTTCTAAACTTTTTAAGAACTGATCACTGATTACGAAATGGACAGACGTGACAAATGTAATCGGGGTATCAAATCAGTCGGCTATTTCACTTTATCAGTTTCCTACCGCATTCGACTGGAAGGGAGGTAACTCTCTAAATGTAATCTCTCTCTCTCTCTCTCTCTCTCTCTCTCTCTCTCTCTCTCTCTCTCTCTCTCTCTCTCTGTCACACACACCCGGTAGTCTGGTGACACGGACGGTTTAGTCGAGGTAGGTTGTCGCAGATAGTTTTGGTGTGTCAGTAATAATCACACGCACACGCACACGCATACATCTGTTACGTAACACCATAAAAAGCCCATCTACACCATAGTATTACACTCCCTGCTCACACACAGACCTAACAAAACTACACTCAAAGTATGTGTGAGGTTGTTAGTAATCGTTCTCTCCTTGTCACTGCTACGGATTAGTTTCATATTACATCAGACACACAGAGATATACGTGTTGTAACAGGTAATTATTGTATTAGTGGGATTAAATCGAAGACCAACCAGTCCATGTCGTAACTTTCAAAAGGTAATTTATATGGTATCTTTACATGACTTGTCTGACAAAATCTGTATCAGTTAGCTAACAACACTCGTGCTACTTTCGTTATGAACATGAGGTCGTCCAAGATATGTGGTACACACACGATTCAGCTGCGCCATACACTTCATATGCGTTAAGACAGTTTTGATGCAAGACGTTCATACAGCGACAAAGAGGTTTCAACGATATTTTATTAGCTATTTATATGACCTTGAGAGAAGTGGGAAAACAGAGAAAAAATATTATTTTGAATGAAAAAATGACACCAGTTGAACCTAATATAGCAGTAAGGAGATATGGAAAAATCAGTTTGTTTGGTATTTAACATTTGTAACGACATTCATGATTACTATAAATTGGTAAGAAATATACATTGGTAATGCGTTTGTTTTTTAGAAAAGTACATTAAAAATATTACTGAAAATGAAGCCATATTGTTTCACCTCATAAATGCAACTCTAAATTTCATGTTTGAACATTGATTTGTTTGATTGGAATTGTAGAAGTTTATGAATAATAAGAAATTCATTAATACTTTATTATCAAAGGAATGACACTTTATGGATGACAACTTCAGTAATATAATTATTAGGGCTGTAACGATGCATCGAACAATCGATGTATTGCAAATTGTTGAGTCTCCGATAGCAAATAATCGATGGTAGAAACGAAAAACTATCGATGCATCGATGGTATGTGTGACTATCGATAGTTTAGTAATTGACTTCTGTTGATAAATGCGCATTGCAAAATACAAGATGTTTGGGTGTAGACTTGCAGCTTCATTGAGTTTATGTTTTAACTGTTTACTTGATCTGGGTTTCAAGTTCCTTGTCAGCAATTAAAAGACTACTTCAACTTGTAGTATCGCATATAAACTATACATTAATTTGGGACATAACTTCAAATGAGACATATCAAGGAGAGAGAAAAAACTATTGCAATAGTATGTTTCAATAGACTATCGCTATAGCAATAGTTGTTTGCCCCTCAATAGTCACCCCTAATAATTATTATCATGATCCGACGTTTCGGTATAGATTCTTAAATCGCTCTCAAGCTAGCACACCTATCCATACCAAAGCTTCATAATATAACAATAAAGGTGTCATCCATCTTTCTTAATCTGTAGATTGTTAAGTTTACAAAGGAAAATATATACATGTATTGCAATAATGTTCAACCTCCATACTCTATACCTTGTACTACAACACGAACGGCTCAGTCCAAGTGTTCCTATAAATGTTCTTTCTCTGTTCTCTGGTCAGAAAAATTGAAACATTGTTACGATTGTCTCAACAAAAGAAATGCCTTTAACGTGAGATGGAGCCGACCGAAGAGTTGTCATGAATAAAATTATGTTGCCCTTTGTGAATTAAGAAAAGAACGAAATGTCTCAAGAACAATTTTCAAAGTTCAGTCAACACAATCATACACAAATCAATATGAACAGTATAGGTTTCAATTCATTTCCTGTATTACACTTGCACCCTATTGTTCACAACAGTGCGATTGCTTCCCCTTATTATTGATAGTAAACATTGTCTTTATACAGTAAATAACATCACTGCAGAAGACCCTTCAGTTATGGCACAAGAGCAAATATGACACGTTAATCACAATTGTTTTACAAAAGCGGATGCACTTTCTATTCATTTACCCACACGAGATTAATCCGACAGAAAATAGTTATATGCACAACAACATTTCCCTTGGTGAAAAGACCGAAACTACAACAACAACAACAACAACAACAACAACAACACACACACACACACACACACACACACACACACACACACACACACACACACACACACACACACACACACACACACACACACACACACACCACACACACACACACACACACACCCCACCTCCCGAAATATATCAACACAGTCATGCTCAAACAATATGAACAGTTCTGGTTTCAATTCATTCCGTTTTACACCAACATCCTCTTGTTAACTACTGTGCGATTACCTCCCTTTGCATTATATGATAAACGCCCCGTTCCACAGTATACAACTCTGCAGCAGAATGAGCAGATCCGACATTTTAAGTACAAGAAGGGCAAATAAATTCAATAAATTATTGTTTTAAAATAAAGAAATGCATGCACATTCTATTCATTAACCCATACGTCCCATAGACTTCTCAGAAAACCCTTACAGTTGGACCACGGTGGCATTACCGCCATGAAATAACGACACACGTCACGTACGTATCAACACAGGCTGTCTGTAGATATTTCTTGTTATTATATTTAAGGGGTTATCGTAAATAACATCTTAGTGGTGGGGATAATCACCCGACAAGATGTAGCACTATTTGTTGTCTTTGATGATGGGCAGCCTTGCAAGGAGAGAATCCTTTTCCAGAATTTCTGATGCAACTTTCAATTTTCGCTATCTGAACAATAACCTTGAATAATAATACCCGTATGAAATTTTCAAAGGCGCTTTTGGAGTATGTTTGTATGTGAAGGTCACTGTTAGCGACTTCATCTTTGAGTCGACGGTAGTTTCTTTGCAAATATGTGAGTGGCAAGGTGGGCGACGTGTATAAAGCGCCGCGCTAATAAGCGAAAGGTTCCTGGATCGATCCCCACTTGTGACCGAGTGTAAAAACCTTGGAGCATCATTACTTGCAGGCGTTGTCACAACACCTACTACACAACCCTGTGCACTTTCAAGAACCCACTCATCCGATGGTAGGTAACTAGATGGTGGACACACGAACACGTGCAGACACCTCGTTGCGGGTACAGTAACGTGCAGTATCATTGGACAAAATACTGTGACTATGTGTCCCAGTTCAGCGCCTGCAAATGGGTACCTTGTGAGGATGAGGCTGTGTGATAACTCGCTGGGCCTAACAGACTGCATGAGTTAAATACTACCCATGAAGTTGAGATGGTTAATAAAACAGAATGCCAGAAAAAAGATATCCATTGATCAAGGGAACATTCCAGCGCCTTGAGCTTGTACTATGTGCGCTATATAAATATCCTATAATAGTGTGTGAGTTTAATTTTACGCCACTTTTAACAATATTTCACATATATCCAACACGCCTGGAGACACCAGAAATGGTCTTCGCTCGTTGTACACATCTGGGGGATCGAGCCCTGGTCCTCGGTATGACGAGCGAATGCTTTAACCACAAGGCTACGCCACCGCCCCTTGTAAAAACACTGTTGATATGTCAAGGTTACGGCTGTCTCGAAGTGAAAGCTTGGCAAATTCGTATTACATCGTCATCATTTACGGTTGTGTCGAACCTTGCAGTATTTACCTTGGTTACTCTAACTTCGACATAAGGGTGTTAACCTGTATATCATTGTGTACTTACCTACACATAGCATCTGCTTGGTTATATCCTTCCAGATGGCGACCTCCCAGAAGCTGACCGAACACTTCCTGACGTGTACAATATGTACAGAGGTGTTCGTCAATCCCTGTACACTTGTGTGTTATCACACTTTCTGTCGGAAATGTGTAATCAACTTCACCAAAACCAGACCAGAAGCCATCAATGCCAAGTCGCTCATCTGCCCTTTCTGCAGCAAGATGACGAAGGTCTCTGACCCTGAGAAACCAGTGGAGGAATGGGCAGATGACGTCAAGCCAAGCTTTGTCATGCAGGGACTTTTGGACTCGTTTGGTCCGGAATCAAAGGGTATGTATATATACACTCACATGTACTGCTGATCGAATCACAAGTTGAAGCTCCAGGAATGCTTTAAGTTTTATTTTGTCTTTTATAAATCAGTGAATATATAATGTACCATGCAATATCACAGTAAGAGATTTTGAGTGTACGACGTTATTACATCGTCAAAGTGTCTGAAATGATAAAAGTCCTACATTTAATTCTGGCAGTAATGTGCATAAATCGCTATCAGGTGATCTTTGGGTATAATGATAACTGTTATTGATTCCACCTTTTACGTTTGTGTTAAGATCTACTTCCTTAACATATCAATCCTTTCCAGATTCAAACTTTTGCGCATTCTGTAAAGAGGGACGGGAGACAACTCCAGCTGTTGTTTGGTGTTCTGTCTGTGATGACGCACTATGTGAGAAATGTGTCAGAGTGCACAATCGCATCCCAGCTACACGTCACCATGACGTCACTGAACTGTGTGGGGAGGTCAGGGTCAAAAGAAAGCGAAATGTCATGTGCAAGGAACACAAGCAGGAATGCGTGGAGTTTCTGTGTGAGGATTGCGAGAAGATGGTTTGTTACAAATGTTGCATCATTTATCACAGGAAGTGTGATTCCTTTGTCACAATCGAGTCACAGATCGAGACCATGAGAAGTGAACTCAAGAAGAAGAAAGAGGCGTTATCAAAGAAGCAAGAAGACACGAAATACAAAACTGATGAACTGAAATCGTCATTAAATAGAGAAATGTCTAGATACGCACGAATGGAAGAAAACATAATGTCTGTAACACAGGAAGCCATTCAACAGATCACGTTTAAGAGAAAGCAACTTCTGGATAATCTCAAAGAGATGTCAGACATCCACATCGGACAACTGAAAGCAAGTGTAAAATCAAGAGAGTTTTCATTACAGATGTACCAACAACAGACTGAGCTGATAGACCAGGCTCTACAATCTGAATGTGACATGGATGTGTATGAGATGTATCAGGGCTGTGAGGCTGGTGGTGTGGAGGCTGTTGGGGACGCAGAGGATGGAATAATGGTCAGGGTCACATTCAGACATGACATTGAGAAGCTGAGTAAAGCGCTGGGGGATCTACAGCTGGGTGCGATAGACGTCCTGCGTGATGGCGATGTGGACCTAATGGCTGATCCAGTGCTACAAGACACCATTACAGTCAGAATAGCAGGAGAACGACGTGCAGCACGGATGACTGACTTGGCCGTGATGATGGTGGATGGTACAGAAACAGTTGTACTCACAGACTGCGAGAACACCAGTGTGAAGTCTTTCTACACCAGGAACAATCAACCTTGTCACAGCAGGCTATGTCTGAGGAATTGTCCGGAAAGTTTGACAAGGCTGACGTACAACCAGGTGGCTGTAACAGTTCCAGCTAAAAACCAGATTGTAACAGTAGGTGTCAACCCGGATCTGGAACTGCTGTCAACCATCACTACCAGTAAACAGTACTGGGGTATAACATTTCTGAACCCGTCAACACTCGCAGCAAGCTCTCCGTCTCCTCCCCTGTGTCGATATCCTGGATATGACAGGAGACGTGCTGAAGTCAATCAGCACATACAAGAGTGGTACCAAGGTCTTTCCGGATCCCTCCTACCTTTGTAGCACAAGGACAGGGCACATCCTGGTGTCTGACTGGGGATCTAAATCTGTCGTGTGTCTGACCCCCGAGGGTGAGACTGTTTTCCACTACAGACCTACAGGAGACACAGCACTGAAAGAGCCACATGGTATCACAAGTACCTGCAGAGGTGACATCCTGGTTACAGACTCTTCTCTACACAGAGTCATTCATCTGACCGAGGCAGGAGAGTTTGTCGAAAACATACTGACAGATGAGGACGATATTGACACACCACTAGGTGTTGATATAGATGGGCGTGGCCGGATGTATGTTGGTCTGTATTATCAAGGAGTTGTCAAAGTGTACATGTGTTGACAGCGTACATGGCCGCAGTGCTTATCCACGTGGAATACCGTCGATGGACGTGGCATAGGTGTACATGTTTGTCCGTACATCTACAGTGAGTGAATATGGTTTACATCGCTTTTAGTAAGATTCAAGCAATTTCACGGCGGGGTACATCGGAAATGGGCATCACATATTGTACCAATGTGGGGAATCGAACCAGAGCCATGAGCGTGACGAGCGGACGCTTTAACCATAGGGCTACCTCACCGCCCCGGACCATCTGCAGATTTTACACGGACTACTTGTGGAAACAAACATACACATTTATAACATTAATCAATAGAACAATTTAATTCGTCTATATTGTGCGTTGCCTTAATGCAATCAATGTTGAACTGGTTCTTTACTGAGACTCCTGAATGCAGTTTGTTTCAACCAACAAGTTGGTCGTTAAAGGTGATTCATATGACTGGGATTATCTTTCGCTTGACTTGGATGATGGCACATTATTACCTGTCGTTGCTTAAAATATCAGTCATTGGTTACTCAAGTTCACAAACCGAAACATGAGTCTCATTAACCTATTCAGACAATGACCTACTTTTCAGCCGATCCGAATTTTCTCGTGTGAAAGTGAAGAGACACCACAAACAACTTTGGTTACACTGAATTTCAATTTCTTGTTTCATAAGAAAATGGTATTTACAAGTTAATTTTAAACTTTAATAACATCGTATTTCTTTATTTTATGGCGAGGTGTAGCAGCATGACTGCCCCTGTTTGATGAGGTCGTAAAATGATTCACAAGGCTCACTGGTTACACCTGTTATGTGTTCTTTGCGCTTATTCAGTGTAGTTTTGTAACGCACAATATGATTGATATAATATCAAGTCCGTACAAGACCGCCAAACTTTTCTAGCGGCAGAGCCTCGTTTTGAGATTTCCACGATTTCCACGATTTCCAGATTTCCATTTGTCAGAGCACGCTGCACGACGTGTTTGCAAGAATTAGAAGGAGCGTAGTGTTGCAATATACAAGTGCTTAGATGTATCAAATAATACTGATTGATATTAAATGTATCCAGTTGAATGAATTGGTCTCAAAATTCTGGACTGGTTATTGTACTAAGTTGCGCAATAGGACGTAACCCAGTCAGCAGGAAACGAGACTGTTGTGTAACCAATGTTTTGACTTTACTCCATTATTGACCAGCCGTGTGATACAGCCTGGGTGTGTCTGACTGCGGCCTCAAACAGCATTCACTTATTCACCAAAACGTGCTGTTTATAGCATATAGTTTAATCATCAGTCGTCTTTGTCCTTTTGTATTCTTCATGTGGTTAGTCAAACATGCAGACAGTGGCATGGCTACAACTAATGTAGATTAAAATGTCCCCATGCGTTGCTTTTGTTGGTTTGTTGCAACGTTCCAGCTCTGTGGCGGCAGTCTGTAAATAGAGACTACGCCGACTAGTAATGTTTCTCACCAGTTATGACTTTTTAATTATTTTAGGTTAGTATTCCTGATTATTAGAACGTATTCAATTTACATACAACTCAAACGAAGCTGCTGACATGTAAGAAATGGTCCTTAACCTTTTATTCGTAGTATAATTCACATAATTTTGAGTTATTCCTCTCTAAACCCCCAACTTTCATTTAGTTAAATGGTCTTAACCACATCTTACATATAACTAATTTCGTGTTCGAGGTTATTTTATGTTTTCTTGGCCAGTTTTTTAGCGGACATTAAACTATTCAATTCAACATAAGAGTTTTTCCAAATAGAGCTAATAGCCTTGCTCAGTTTCGACTGTATTGTCAACGTGTGTTCATGAGTCATTATGCAATAGTCACGTCATTATCATGCTTGTGTTGCTGAAAATGGGAATTACCCGTCACAAACGCACAAAAGGCCTGTTCACCTGAAAACAATCCACGGGAACAAATGGAACCAGTCACAGTAGGGTATTGCTTCGGACATAATGTTTGTCATAATGCGTCAACCACAGCCTCTCAATATCGATATTTGGGAGTATTTGGGTGAATCGTGCACAAAGACAGCAGATGACAGGGACAATAAGTACATATCAGCATTATATATACGTACAGCATTACGGGTATTGCAGGCAATTTATAGCATGTATGTACTTTCATTAAATCATTTTCTATATATTGTTAAAATGATAGAATGTTCTTCGCAATTGCTCTTTTGTACTTTACGAGCTACTGCCTTAGTGATCACCCAGATTGTTCATTCTTAATTATGAAGTGAATTGTTTGTCAAACCGTCTTCATGACTTCCAGATCCTCCTGGCCGAAAACGAAGGGATGAGCAAGGCGTCTGACACCACCATCCAGGTCTGAAGGGGGCGAGACGAACGAAGACTCGCTCCTGTCAGTCGCCCCTCTAAGGACGCTACTTCAAGGTACAGATCCCTTGGAACGGAACTAGCGATATGGTAAGAAGTCCACGCCTGGCACCACCAAACAGTATAATGTATTCTCTTCACTAGGGCTGTGTATTGACAAATAAATTGTATTGTAATATATTGCGATTCGGGTACCCTTATTGCGATACGTATTGCGATATATTGGGAGCTTAAGTGTTAGACAGTGAGTGACGCTAACTGTGCATGTCAATCCTATTTTCTACATTATAAGTCCCTAAACATATATGTTATGGTTCTGATAACAGCAATCTCAAAATTAGGTTAGTCAGGGATTCTATTTTTTTGTGTGTACAATTTATAGTATTACAGTATGTCGTTTTGTCATTGAATAAAGAAGGAAAACATTTGTTGTGAATGAAAGTCTGTGTAGATTTTAATTTTAACCATAAAGATAATCACAAAAACTTCATATATGTTCTTTACCCAATATACCGATTCTCAGGAATTAAATATTGCAATGCGTATCGTTTGAAAAGCGCATTGCATACGGTAATCCCATGCAGTCCTACTCTTCGCGTTACTAATGCCAGGAGTGCCTGTATCTGAGGATGGTTGAGCCTGGGTAGTTTTATGCACTGATGATATGCATTTACTAGAACTGTGTTGATGTGTCTGGACAGAAGTCCAGAAGTTTCACCATAAGCTCCGAAGTATTTATCTGTGTTGATTCAACTACAAAAGAAATGTTTGGTCTGTGATCAATACTGATCCACACTGTGTTGTAAAACAACTATATTTTCAAGGCGGTTTTCTATGATAAGAAGTAGTGGGATCTGTGCATTTCTACGTAGCCGGCGTAATTAATAACTCAATCATTTGGCCATCTATCACGTGATTGGCTTGCTTACAAGTGTACGACTGTGCGGTGTCAGGGTATATAAGCTTACTTTTTGATGTAAATTGGGTGAATGGCGGGTGCTACTGGAACGGCCGGACGTGCTTTCCCTTTTCGCGAACACCTGGTGTCAATGATTTTCTATGCTCCATTCATAAACATTTCACAGCTACTTTCTCTCCTCACTAAATGGAATCTGTTTATGAGGATAATCAAGACTGGGTTTTCTTTGGCACTGACGTTTTATACGGCGATATATTGGACGTCTTCCTACTGCTATGTCCACTGAATTGCAAGCATTGATCAAAGGACTTTACAATACACATGCCTTACGATAATCATAGCAATATTTGAAAATGTGCCTTCAAGGGATGACTTGTCGTCAGATAAACACGAGGGACCTTTAACAAACTAAACATGATGACACGTGGACAGGGGACTCTAATTGTTTGTAGGATTTCATTTCTCCCCCTTGACTGCCAACGTATCCAACTGTGAGTTACCAGCTCCTTACATAAATGTCGTCACCGACGGAGACTGGAGTTTCTGAACGCCAACTCTTACGACTTCTGCACCTGCTGAGGTCGAGACTAATTGATGACTTGTTAAATGTTCTATTTAGACAGCTGTTGCCATGCCAAATAATACGTCAATAAGACATATATAACTAACCAGATTAGGATGTTCTGACACTACTACAGAACAATTTGGTTGTGACTGAGACTATTTAAAGGATGTCTGTATCCTTTACCGGATCTATTCAGATAGCTGAGTCAACTACTAACTGAATGTTGCTCTGGGGGGTAAAAATTCTGTTCCACTCTGTGGCTCCAAAATGTTTTGTTTTCATTACTTGTAAGTAGTGGAATCTCTGCACATCCACGCAGTAGTCGTAATTCGAAAATAACAACTGAAGTATTTGGTCCATCGATCAATTGATTGGTTTGTGTACATATTTCATATTTTGCCTTATGTAATGGAATGGGTTGTATATGACACATCGGTTTGAGGAAGGAATTGCTCCAGACATACAATTCGTTGATATAATCACAATATGTTTTGACATAAATGCAGGTAGGTCACCTCTAGCAAATATTTAAACCGCGTGTAGTTACAATGTGTGTTCCAAGGTTGAATGTGGGTCATCGTGACCCGATTAGAAGATATTCATATTATGAGTCACTGGTTCCATAGTCCACAAGTTTAATCAGTTAAATCAATTTGGTAACTGTTCAAGTGGACTCATCTTCAGCTCACGACATAATGCCACTAAAAGCAAAACCTGCGTTTTACAAGATAATGATTTCCATTAAATTTGATATGGATTTGCGCCCGGAACATTGTAGGGAACATGCATGTAAAGGCTGCAAATTGTCCAGAAAACCTATAGTTTGGCATGAAATGCATGTGGACCCGGTTTTTTTGTAAATATATCTTCATCCAATGACCCAATCGATCTCAAACTGTGCAAGTGGATGTTTTGTCAGACAACCTAATCACATTGTAAATCACCGATTGTATGCATTTGTATTAAAGAATCTGTCTATGTAACTGTCAACAAAATAAACAGCAGAACGCAGAAGGCTTGCAGAGGGAGGGAGCCAATGACCTGTAACAGCGGCAGTGTTGGGTACTAGCTGGCGGCCATTACTAAATAACTTACAGATATGACTCAATATTCACATCTCTGTAACAAAAGCAGGATACCTTTGTTTTACATGTATCTGTAATCAGATACATACCTATTAAGGACCTACTGAGCTCAAAAGTGGAAAAGAAACGTTTTCTGTGACTGATCATAGTGGTATACATTTGATTATATTTGGTAGCATATCAGTGAATGTAAGTGGCCAGTACATGGGAATGCCCAGTTTTAACCAAACTCAAAAACAAATTCCGTTTGGTTTGAAGGGGAAATAGTTGTGAAAATTATATGAATTGATCTCTTTATGTCACCAGGTTTTCGCAAAAAAGGGCAGGCATGAGGAACGTAATGTGGGTATCAAGTCAGTCGGCTATTCACTTTATCAGTTTCCTTCGGCATTCGACCGCCTCCGTGGTGTAGTGGTTAGAGCGTCCGCCTGGAGACCGGAAGGTTGCGGGTTCTATCCCCGACCGCGTCATACCAAAAGACGTTAAATATTGTACTTGTTGGTCCCTGCCTGGCGCTCGGCTTTAAAGGGTGCAACAAGGACTGGTCGGCTGGGAGTCAGTATAATGTGTCTGAGTGGGGTATTCATGCTTCACTGCGGCATGGATATCTCAGTGGGCTAGTACTATAAAACCAGCTTCAGTCTGGGCTAGTACAAGCAGCCGCACATACACATACACACGCATGCACGTCGTCATATGATCGAAATATTCTCAAGCACGACGTTAAACCCAATTTCACCTCACCTCACCTTCGGCATTCTACTAGACGGGAGGCAACTCTGTCTGTCACACACCCTGTAGTCAGGTGGCACGGACAGCTTGGTCGAGGTAGGTTGTTGCAGACACTCTCGGTGGGACATTAATAATCACACAGACGTACACAGCTGATATGTCACACCATGAGACACCTGTCACACCATGACACACAAAATATCACACTCCCTGGTCACACACACAACAAACAAATTCACACTCAATGTATGAATGTGTTTGTTTGTATTCCTAGTCACCTCTATCAGGACACAGAGATATACTTGTTGTACAAGGAAATTTGTGTGTTAGTGGAATTAAATAAAAGGTCAACCGGTTTATGTTCGGTTTAACTTTCACAAATGTTCGGCATATGACATTTTAAAATGACTCGTTTGATAAAATCTATACCGGTATTTAAAAACACCCGTCCTATCGTCTTTTAATAATGAAGGGACGTCGTCAGGTGGTACACACATGCTGAGACACGACTCAGCTGCGTTATACACTTCATATGCATATACAATCTGATAAAACTTTGATACATGACGTTAATACAGCGACAAATATGTCAAGCGTTCAAGAGATTGCAACGATATTTTCATAGCTACATATATGAGCTTAAGAGAAATGGGAAAACAGAAAAAACAAAGCAAGTTTTCAAAAGGCTAAATGACCCATTATTCATACAAGTATATATAGAAAGACATGGATGGATGGATCTTAAAGATGTCATGAAGTATTTTTCTAACATAAACAAAGTGTGCATTCTGAATTATTAGAAAAGAAATCTTTGTGTTTGTATGCATCCATTAAAACGGTATTTAATCAAGAATTGTATGTTAACGTTTTCTGTGAAGAACCCGTCACAACTTAATAAATTTTTAATCGTTTAAATACAGGTTTTTGTAATTCTGAAGGTCTTGTGTAATGAAAGAGAAGATGGGAAACAATATATTATATATAATAGTCTCGGTATGGAATTAACTGTCTCTTTACAAAAATGGATGGAAACTCAACTTCGAACTATGTTGGTGAAAAGAACATTGTATTGTACCCATGTTGGAGATAGAAACGGGGTCCTCGGTGTTATGGGTGAATGCTTTGACCACAAGGCTACCCCACCGCCGCTTGGGCAATTATGAACATGTTATTCTTATACACCTGTTAAAGTCTTGGGAAAATTCGTGTTTGGACATCTACATTCTGTACATATGTATAGGTTCGTTGGCACTTTAAGATTTCTGAGAGTATTTGGCAGCGTCTTGACATACCATGACAGGTAACATACAGTCAAATACCGTTGATATGTCGAAATTACGATTGTCTCGAAGTGAAATCTTGGCACCTTCGTATTGCATCTTCATCATTATCGGTTGTGTCGAACCTAGGATAACCTGCAGTATTTACCTTGGTACCTCTGACTTCGACGCAACGGTGTTCAACTGTATAGTGTGTACTTATAGTGTGTACTTATCTCGGTCCCTCTGACTTCGACACAATGGTTTTCAAATGTAGTGTGTACTTATCACGGTCCCTCGGATTTCGACACAACGGTGTTCAACTGTAGTGTGTACTTACCTTGGTCCCTCTGACTTCGACACAGTGTGCACTTTTCTTGGTCCTTCTGATTTGGACACAACGGTGTTCAACTGTAGTGTGTACTTATCTTGGTCCGTCTGACTTCGACACAACGGTGTTCAACTGTAGTGTGTACTTATCTTGGTCCCTCTGACTTCGACAAAACGGTGTTCAACTGTAGTGCGTACTT